TTTTTTTTTTTTTTCACCATNATGAGGCTTGAAGTGGAAGAAAACGATGTCGATGACGTTCTTCTTCCTCCTTCCAACTTCTCCATGGTTGAGGATGGCATTTTCCGATCCGGTTTCCCTCAGCCGGCTAATTTCCCCTTCCTCAAGAACCTCAACCTCCGCTCCATCATGTTCGTATCACTAATCCTTTCATTCGGTTCTTCTTCGTTTTCTTGATTGTGCGATTCTCAGTTTTGTTGTTCTTATGCATATTCCTGTTTTTTTTTTTTTTTTTTTTTTTTTTTTTTTTCCTGTTTCTGGTTTGTTTTGTTATGTTGCCATTGCTATATGATGTTCTGGATTATTGTTTTCTTTTTTTCCCCCATTTGGTTTGATTGTGAGGTCGAATTTGTTGGTTAATTTAAGATTTGAGATGGATTTGAAGAGATTTGTTTTTAGTATGTTGGTTTCTGATGAAGATTGGGGGATTGGTTTCCTTGAATAGAATGAGATGAAGTTTTTGGTTCTTTGATTGAAATAAGAGACAGATTATTGTGTTCTCTCTCGATTGAATCTGATTCCGATTGCCTTCTTGAATCAGCTATCTGTGTCCAGAACCCTATCCAGAGGAGAATTTGGAGTTTCTTAGAGCCAATAACATCAAGCTTTTTCAATTCAAAATCGAAGGAAAAAAGGTACTGTGTTGTTGTTCTACCAATGGCTTGATTTAGTTGCATATGAATTTGTTGGCTATAATCAGTAGTAATATCTTGGATTGCAGGAGCCTTTCGTTTCAATGCCCAAGGATGCTATTCTGGATGCCCTAAAAATCCTAATTGGTATTGTGGATTTTGGTTTCTGTTTATCTTCTTGTTCTTGTTTATCATTGTCTTTACAGAGTCTTAGAACATTTTTTAATTTGTTTGTTATTATATCATTTGTTTTCAGATGTTAGGAATCATCCCATTTTGATCCACTGCAAGCGTGGAAAGGTATTATCCTGATCCTATCCATCCTATTTATTGATATTGAATTCTACCTATATTTGTAAACTTGTAGATCGTAAGGTCGGCTTTGATTATGTCATGTTCTTGGCTATGTTTCTGAGGCTTAAGCATATAGAAACATCACTAACTATCAAATTTTGAAAACAAAGAACCAAGGTAAACTTGTGAATCGTGAAGTCCTGTTTGATAATGGCATGTTCTTGGCTATATTTTTGGAGCTTAAGCATACAAAAACTTCTCTAACTATCGAATTTTGAAAACAAAGAACTAGGTAAAATTGTGAATCATAAGATCTGTTCTTGACTATGTTTTTGAGACTTGAGGCTTAAGCATATGGAAACTTCTCTATCAAGTTTTGAAAACAAAGAACCAGGTAAAATCGTGAATCATAAGGTCTTGTTTGATAACGGCATGTTCTTGGCTATGTTTATGGGGCTTAAGCATATAGAAACTTCTCTAAAGAACCTGGTAAAATTGTGGTTGTGTTTAGGAGGCTTAAACATATAGAAACTTCACTAACTATCAAACATTGAAAACAAAGAACATGATTTTGAACAACTTTGCATACATACTTCTATGAAAATAGAAACCAACAAAGACATTACCAAACGAGCTTCAATTGGTAACCTTCTGAGTAGAGACAGTTTCATTGATATAGTCACATAGAAAGGAGGTTGTTTTCTAAAGCTCATAAAGCCTTTGTGTTATCCTCTCCCCATTGCAGCATCGAACAGGCTCGCTGGTCGGTTGCCTGAGAAAGTTTCAGAACTGGTGTTTGACATCAGTGTTCGAGGAGTACCAGCGATTCGCAGGCATGAAGTCGAGGACGACTGACCTACAATTCATCGAGACGTTTGACATCAGTTTGCTAAGGCAATGTGTTTACAGCATCATATACCAGTACCAAGGTTACAGCCAAAGCAAGAGGAGGCTGGTCTACCGAGAAGAAAATTTGCAGAAACCCCAACCAACATCAGTTTAGAGACGGAAAAAACATCAACCTTCTTCCTTTTTGCACATAATATCAAGTTCTTGTCAAAACATAAAGTCTATATTTTTAGGTTTCCCATTGATGCTCAGTTCATATATTTTTTTCTTTTTTCTTTTTTCTTTTTTTTTTCCCCTTATTTTTTCATTAATATAATAGAAAAAAGAAAAAGAAAAAAATAATAAATATGTGGGATAGTATATGCTGTTTTTTTTATTTGTTGGTTTTTTTAATGTATAGTTCTGTATGGATTCTTATTATTTGTTGAGAATTTAGATATTGACTTATTATAATTACTTTGATGTAAAAATTCATTCCTTATTTTATTTTATTTTATTGTATTTTTTTTATTTATAAAGGACTAATATAATTACTGTTGAAACAATATATATTAATATTAAGATTAGATGCTATGGTAGAACCTGAATTGGGGCATATGGAGCAATATCCTCTGCTCTTTTGCTTGGTAGTCGGGTTTCTCTTATCTACTTGCTTTCAATAATATCTATGATTGAAATGACTCTTGGTTTTGACCGTTGGTGAGTTCTCTGATATCATTCGGCCCACCGTTAGTTGATATTGTATTCTTTGGACTTTCCTTTTCAGGCTCTTTCAAGATTTTTATAATGTGCTAGGGAAAGCATTTCACAATCTATTTGGGTAATCCTTACAAGATGATTTGAAAAAAAAGTCTCTTAAAAAGACTTTTTTTTTTCCTCTAGGAACTTAGCCTTGGAGCTAGAAATACGACAAACTTCAAATCAATAATATATGAATGGTTTCTTGAGACTAATGTGAGACCCCGTTTGAGGAAACCTCCCTCTAACAAACATGTTTCAAAACTTTGAGATTGACGATGATACGTAATGGACCAAAGTGTTCTCTTTACAGCCATAAAAAAGCTCTTTTTCATTTTGTTCCTTCAAGCTTCGAGAAGACCCACTCAATATTTGTTTTTGTTAATCATCCCTTAAGGTGGAAAGAATGATAGAGTAGTCTAGGACTCCTCTACCTTAAATAATTTTTTGGATTTGATTATCTTTCCTGCTATGTATTCCATCTTGGAATTCGTACGTATGTTATTTGATTATCTCGAGTCTATATTGTTAAGTTGTGCATTAGTATGATGTTTACTCAACACACTTAACATAAGAAGGGTTGGAAGATTTCGCTCGAGTTCTAGACTCTCGATTTTAATTCTTTGTCTAATAAAACTCTAAACTTTAGATTTTGTGTTTAGTAGATCGGTAGATTTAAAAATATATACAAAAATAATAACACAATTTTTTTTTAAGAGTGAATGGATAAAAAGTTTGTTCAAATTTAGCAAAAAGAAAAAATTGATAAGTTTTATTTTAAATTATGATTTCATCTTAACTAAAATATTGCAAAATAAAATTGACCGATCATGGCACTAATTTTTAGAAAAAAGGAAAAGAAATGTTTTTTGATAAATGATAAATAATATAGATATATATTAAAGCCAGCCGCCACATTATTTTTAAACCTAGGTCATGTACCACATCGACAATTCTCGGCTAAGATTAATAATATTTAACGGAAGAGAGGAAGCTGACATGGCACGACCTTACTTGAACAGGATCTGTTTTATAGGTGGTACAACTGTGTCCTTGAGTCTTAAGGAGACAAGAACCAAAGTCCGGTGGATGAACCACTGTCTTGCGGCTAGAGCGTGATTATTGGCATAACGGGCTTCGGTCCTGCGGCTGTAGAGGAGGATCGTTCTTGGCCGACTCTGTTCGGCTGGGATGGTTGCATGGCGGTCTGACGGACTTCAAAAGATTTTTTTTTTTTTTTTTGGCTCCTCTGTTTTTTGGTAAGTTTTTGGTTTATGCTAATGACACAATTTATCTTCTCAAAGGTCGATAGTTCAAGACCTCATCGACATTGGTTTTCACCGGTGAAGATGCTGCATATCCTCTAGATGCCAGTTTCAATGCACAATGAATTGTTATCTGGTTGGTAAACTCTTTTTTGCAGGCAGCCTATCAAATCATCTCACGTATTGTTTAATATCTTGTTCCCTGTCATGTGCATGTCTTTGGTCTTTCATTTTGATGTTCGAGCTCGTGCCTAGAGAGAGAATGGGCACAATTCCCACTCTCCCCATTCTACTGTCCAAAACATGTCGATCGTTCTGTTCTTGAATTGGTTTGGATAGGAAAAGACCCAATTGACTAGATGTGTGGAATTTAATTGGATCTGATTGAACTTCGAATTCAAATGCGGTACGGTAACCAAGTGAAAAGGAAGAGGCTAAGATTGCTTGCATATTGCAGTGAATGATGTGCTATTTGAGTTTTGGTTCTATAATGGGGTCACTTAAAGTCACGTGCTACTCGTAGATTTTAGGTAAATGCAAGACAATTATATGGATGGCGGCGGCATCACATTACAAACCATAATTTCGATACTAGGGCATTTGCATTTTTATTTTGCTTATTAGTCTTAGGTTAGTAATAGATATTGTTTTTTTTTTTCTAGCTTTATTTCTAACGTGTACGTCCATGACATCGTTTATGAACTATTTAAAATAAAGATTTCCATATAAAAAGATCACGTCATGTATACGGTAACGACTTATATAGTAGAAAAAAATAGGGTCGTTACAAAGCCTATGAAATATTTAATCTCTCTTTTGTAAATCCGCTAATTAAGAAGATTAATATTTTACAAAATGATCGCTTGCAACATAACAAAGAGGCTGGTGGACGTTTGTGTTTATTAGCGTGTTTTATTTTAATTCTAAATAAAATCAAATTTAGATCAAATATTCCATGCAAATGGATTTCTCTTATACATTCTAGTTTAAATATTTCGTTATTAAATCCAAAATAATAATAATAATAATAATAATAAATAATAATAATAATAATAAATAATAATGTTTAAATTAAACATGAATGAAAAATGTATAGACAAGCAAAAAATATAATAAAAAAATAAATAAATAAAAAGAGAAAAATACAAAATTAGCCTCTATAAATAAAGCAAACGCCATTGTTGGATTCACCTTAGCTAGGGTTTCTTCTCCACCCAATCCTGTTTTTGTCAAAAATCCCCCCCTCCCAATTCGGAACGTGTTCTCTCTCGATCAAAAACAAAATTCTTTTAAGAACGATCGATTTCATTTGATTTTCCCAGAAAGAAAGCACAGCAACAATCAATCAACCATGACGGGGAAGGCTAAGCCGAAGAAGCACACCGCGAAAGAGATCGCCGCGAAGATCGACGCAGCCACCACCAATAGAGGCGGCGGAAAGGCCGGTCTCGCTGACCGGTCCGGTCAAGTTAAGGGCGGCCATGCCAAGTTCGAGTGTCCACACTGCAAGATTACGGCGCCTGATGTAAAGACTATGCAGATTCATCACGAGTCGAAGCACCCCAAAATCCCTTTTGAGGAGGACAGGGTTACGAATCTCCACGTTGATCGTGCTGCCGAGGGGTCTAAGGTCAAACCGGGTGTGAGAGGTAGCTTAAAGAAGTGAAGAAATCCGAATTTCTGGGTGATCAATGATGATGATAATGGTGGGTGGGCTCAATTCTATGGTATTGGGTGTTTCTGTTTTTGTTTTTTCCCTTTTTCTTTATTATCTTGTTCTCTCTATGTTTTGTCTCTGGTGCTGATGGGAAGTGGACTTGTAAGGTGTTTTGAGTAAAACATATGAGCTTGCAATTATGCATATTACATAAAAGAAGACATGATCATGGTTGTTCTGTTAACGATGGAGGTGCTCATATTCTTATTGCTCTGCTATCATGCTTAATTTAAGTGAATTTTCGAGTGGCCTGGTGAGAAATAAACTTTAGAATTTTGTTTTTGGATTGTTGTGGGCTTAAGATGTTAATGACTTCAGAATATATTCTGTTATATCTGTTATTGTTTTGATATTTAGGAAGTAGATTACTGGGAACTGATTAATGATTGACCCAACTATGAAGGGACGAAATCATAAATCCATATGTGGTCGCCATGGCTTCCCTGATGTAAGTTAAATGTTTTAACATTCTATCATCTTTGTATGGTAGTTTGAATTGTGTTAGCTGTTGAGAAAGCTGGGCCGTTTGGCATAAGTAAGATAGCTGAAGTTGTGAATCAGATGAATGACCGAGTTTCTTTGTTGTCAATTATCATGGTTTTTTTTCAACAAGTTTGTGCCTTGTTTCTTTGTCCCATGTCATGAGTGCCTTTGAGTTTCTATCCTCTACAGAAGCTGTATATAATTGAGATGTTTCTTATCAATATTTTTGTATACACTTACGTATTTGTGTTTTTGAGATCCCATATTGATTGGAGAGGGGAATGAAGCATTCCTTATAAGGGTGTGGAAACCTCTCACTATCCGACGTGTTTTAAACTTTTGAGAGGAATCCTAAAAGGGAAATCTCAAAGAGAACAATATTTGCTAGCGGTGGCTTGGGCATTACAAATGTTATTAGAGCTAGACACCAAGTGGTGTTAGCGAGGACGTTGGGCTCCCTAAGGGGGTAGACTGTGAGATCCCACATCGATTGGAGGGGGCCCGAAACATTTCTTATAAGGGTGTGGAAATCTCTTTCTAACAGACACGTTTTAGAACTCTGAGGAGAAACCTGAAAGAATTAGCATCTGCACCACAATTCTCTGCTGGTAGAAGCATTGTTTTTGTTTTTGTGGACTACGTTCTATATTTCTGAATGGAAGCTTAGATTTTTATAAGAGAAACAAACCTGTTGGTATAAGCAAATAGCATATTCTAATGATGGAGATTTATTATCAGGCTAGGTTTTTAAGATTAATTCTGCTCATCTATTTGGGAGAAACCCTTCCAATTTTCTCAAACTTGGGTGTGGGGATGTTGATGTCCTGACATGTTGCTTATGCTGTTTGGTTTTATGTTCTTGGTGTGTGTATGTTATCGTTATACCTTAAGACTTTTTAGTTTATTTAATATTTTCCATTTTCCATTTTCCATCTTTACGGTCAGGACTACTCATGACTCTTGCTCGTTGTTGCCTTAACTTGTGCCCGAGATCCTTGTATTCTCGAGATCAAGCGACCAAATGTTTGTTTGCTTTTCACAAATCTAAATAATTAGAATCTTCATATGACTATAGTTATGGATTCTCACTCATATGGTGTCTGTCATTTTAGTTAATCGCATTTATTTTTGAAGGAATAATTTATATGTTTTGTGTTAATCGTGTGTGGGCATCTGACTAGTGATGTTCGACTTCTTGTCTTGGAATTTTAAGATATCTGATATTCCTACTTGTTTAAATAGTCTCCAACATTTATCTTGAGGTTTGAACGCCATCAATTGAAGCCAACTTGAATTGAGAGAGTTGGTTTTTCTCTTGATTATTGAACGTTTCAATGTTAGTTGTTACAATACTTTGAAATTGATCTTAATGGTTCCCAAAGAGAACGGGTGATGATGTGTAAACAATAGTATATGCACGGAACCTGTAGATATCAATGTACACACAATATGCATATCTTTTTCTAGTATACAAAAGATGCTTATATCACATATTTAAATTAATCTCATGTATTTCTCTTTGTTAAAACATTTCATTCTTAACCATCCTTTTAAGATCAGGACTGTGAATCTCTTTTAGAAATTCGAAGATTCAATCTAACAATTGTTTTGGATACGTGATCATGCATGGTGGTGTTAGTTAACAAAAACTAGCAATGAAGCTAATGAAGGAAACTTTTTTCCGAACTCAACTACTAATAATGGGGTCAACTTCATTTTATCTATGAACGTCCCATTTATAGTCATATCCACAAAACAAAAGGCTTTTATTCCTAAACTAAAGACGGTGTCTCACATATAAGAGTTCATAACACATTTGAATGAATATCAAAATCACGTATAATCATCTCATAACATATTTATTATTTTTCTATTAACGTAGTTACAACGAACGAACAAATATATGACGATCCAATCTTTTATTACATTTTTTCATCCCACAACTTACATAATACATTAAGCCTCTGATTCATCTAAAACACTGTGAAATGAAGAACTCAGGCCTTACTTCTTCACCTGCAACAGTTCAGCTCAAGAAACTCAATAATGTTCTTCAGTTCATGAATCTAACCTGAGAGGTGGTAGCCACCAATATCGACCAAATTAGGCACCTGAGAACTGACTTCACGACCTCCCACCGACCATTCTTCTTCATAACCTTAATGGTCTATTCCCAAATAGCCATCTTTTAGCTGAAAGAATCCACAAATTGATCAGAAAAACAAGCTTTTATATGGATTTCTGAGCTTTAACAACGAAAAAGCTATGGAAATTTCCCCATAATTTGCTTATAAACAGAGGAAACAGAGGAAGAAGAAGATTCACTTGAAGTATCAGTCATTGCCTGAAAAGAAGCATAGATATTATCCTCCTCATGCTCCTGTTTTGGTGTGAGGAATCTCTCAGCCAAGAACACCTGAAAAGCCGAGAGATTTTGGCTCAATGGCAACGAAATGGGGAAGTCCAAAGCAGGGAAGGCGGTCTGCAATGGAGGGAACTTCAGCTGACAAAATGGCGGCGCTGTTCCAAACGACCGCTGATACTCATGGCTGCTGAATTCAGGTGTCGGATAAAACTGTGTGGAAAGATCTTGGATTTGTGTTTCAGACTTTCTTGTCGGCGCCGCCGCCGCCTGAGTAGCAGCAGCAGAGGAGGCCTGCGCGGTGCTGCTGCTGCTACTGCTGCTGCTGCTACTGCTGCTGCTGCTGCTGTTCCTCGCTGCTGGCACTAAATGATTGTGCTTTCCTTCGTACGTTGTTATTACACATTTCAAATCATGCGATGCTCTCTCGACATGCTTTCTTACTGAACACCCTGTACTCGTGCACTTGTAATAGCTCCTGAAGAACAAAACCATTTCATAAAATATAATAAAAACGATTTCTAGCTTGGATTTGAATGTTTTTATACCTTGGATTTGGGTTTCCTTTCACAACTTTTTGGCCATATTTCCTCCACCGATACCCATCTTCAAGTATGTCGAACTCCGTTTCGATTTGAACTACTACTCTCTGTTCACGAACAGAGCGCGAACCCAAGCTTGTCTCCATGGAAATCCCCTCTTTCCGCCTGCAACAATGATTAAACCTTGTAATTAATGAACACAACACGTTTTTAACAAACCCCATGATGTTTTTTTTGTTGTTTTTTTACCTTCTTTTCAGCTCAGGCTCTGCATCATCAGCTGAAATACTCCCCTGATTTGTGAGTTCATCATCATCGTTTCCACCACCGCCGCTGCCTCCGCCTCCTCCGCCGCCGCCGTCGTCATCATCATGGCTAACAAAAGTGGAGGAAAGCTCGGGAGTTTCAATGGATTCAAACCCACCAACAGTTTTCCCATACAATGGCTCAGAAAGCTCTGTCACAGCTGAAACAGAGGATGTTCTTTCTAGCCCATCAACGCTCCAATCCTTCACCCCATAGGGGCTGTTCCGCCATGGCAGTCCACCTTCAAGTTTGGCGCGGCTTCCACCGCCTTCGCCGGTGTCCGGAGCATCATCTGGAGCTAGCACTGATCCAAGCAGAGCCCGGCGAGTGGGGTCCGGCTTAGAATGATTATGAGCGCCGGTATATATGATCTCTGTGATCTGACCGTCAAGCGATCGCTCCACCTTCTTCTTTACTATACAATTTGGATGCGTGCATTTGTAATAGCTTCTTGGATATTCGCTGCCCTTCACCTGTTTCTGGCCGTATTTTCTCCAGTTGTATCCATCTTCTGATGTTTTTAGCATTCCGACAGGAACATAAGACCCTTTGTGTTCTGTTTCTAACGGCGGCGGCGGCGGCGGCGGCTGCTCAATGTCATGATTATGAGTTACAGAGGAAAGACAGGTTTCCACATTGTTCTTATCAGTAGAGGATGAACCCAGTTCATATTGTTCTAATACAGAACAATCCTCTTTGGGAAAATCAGCTAGCAATTCATAATCCATCAGTGTTTTCTCTGATTCGAACCCTTGACGATGATCCGTTTCACCTTCCTGAACGAGCAAAAGTTCGAACCATGAATCATTCTGGTTAGCTACTCGAGTATATTTAATACTCAATATTTCTAAAAAAAAATTCAGACAAGAACAAGAACTAAGAGATAAACTCGAGATTGATTTTGAAATAGATTTAAAGGTTTTTAATTCGGGATAAGTCGTGTTTTAAGAGGCAGTATCATTACTATACCAATTCTTATAATTCTACTTGAGAAGTCCATATATGTTAATTTGGGTCAAACCATATAACAATCATTAGCATCCCGATCATGTTATTTAATTGTCTTGGTTATCCGCACAAAATTTTTTCGAGATCATCCCACATAGAATTGTTAGAAACTACACTCTGCTAGTATAACTATCGTTTTCAAGTCAATCTTTACCCTATTTGCCTGTCCTCGAGATGTTTCTTATTTAGATATGGTCTTATTTCATTCATGCATGACTCAGTGTCATATCTTACTCGAGAAGTAATGCCTTCTCGTTCACACATTCGAAAAAATTATAGCGTATAAAAGAAATATTAGCATCGATTACCTGATTTTCAAACCGAAGCTCCCCACGAGGTGTGAACCTGTAGTACGAATCCTCACTGCCATAGCTACTCCCATCTTCAAGCATGATAGGATTCAACAACGAATTCTCATCCTTTATGGAATGTATCGGAAAATTTCCCGTTGTTGGAGATAAAATATCCTGACATAACATCCGATCCAATCCAATCAAATCTATTAGTTCATAAATCAATCAAATCCATTTCTTCGAAACCTTTTATCATTTACATTAACTCTTATTAACCCTAGCGAGTTCGAAAAATTCATCCTCCAAACATCAACTCAATCTAGAACGAGATCAAATACCTCTACGGTTAAGATTTCCTCAACAACCCAACAAGAGATCCATACGATTTCAATAACAAAACATTCCCGATTAGCTCATTTGTTCACCAGATCTGATCATTCCTCAATATCAGATGTTCAAATTACGAGAAAAGAAGAAGAAACAAGAAATCTCACATGGGTATTGAGCAACATAATCGGCGAATCAAGCAACACGGTCGGGCTAAACCCGGAAGGAATTGTGAGGAAAGGAGATCGAACCATCGACGAACCCAACGGGCACCGAGCCATGGCGATATTGAACCCATTTCTCCCTCTCTTGGAAGCTCGTCTGTCAGCCAAGCTTCCACCATTGACATCCACAAGAACATCATCATCACCAAATTTAGAGGCTCTGTGCTCGCCATAGACCTCCATGAACTGCATTCATTTCATGACAGAGTAAAAACGGTAATTTAACATAATTTTACAGCTTCAGTCGCAGTAAAAATCATACCTTTCAACTAGAAGATGAACAAATTTCAATGACATTCAAAGAAAATAAAACAGTAAAAAAGTAAAAAAAAATTGGTTCAAAATGGAAAAAGAAAAAAAAACAAATAAGTAAATTTGAAAGGAAGATAGAAATAAGCGTAAATTCTGTTAGGTGTAATTTCTTTTCTTAAAATAGATTCATAAGATCTTCTTCTTTTTTTTCTTTACAAACTTTATTATATTATCGATTCAAATCTTACCTCTTCCAATTCTTATACCGACATGTTATTAAATTAAAAAAAACGTTCAATCCCGATCAAAAAGTCAACGTTTCAAATCTTAACTCGACATGTTCAACAAAGAAAAATATTTATCGATCAAAAGATCAGAAGTTCAATCTTTAGTACCATTCATGCACGTACGTGTGAAATACTAATACTCATATTTGAAACCCTGTTGTTATTATTGATATGGGTATAGCTCTCGAGCTAAGAATCATGGACTAAGACTTCGAACGTGCACTCTGTTATTTTTTAAATTTGGAGGACTAAAATAAAAATTTTGAAAACGTATTGACTCGGGATGAAATATAATTGAAAATTAGAATGTAATAATTTTTTATAAAATATATATATATAGTTAAAAAGATTATTTAAGCAATGAGATCCTAGAAATAATGAAGAAAGAGAAATTTTAAAAATAGAAAAAAAAAATTAATTTGGTATCCACACAATAATATTATTATTATTATTATTAAAATTTGAATTTTGTTAGATTAAAGTCCACAAACTTTACAACACAAACCTTAAAATAAACAATATCCAAAACAACAAACTATTTTTTTTCCGAATCTCTTGTCATTGTGTAACCATCTCTTTCTCTCTCTCTCTCTAAATAACAACATTTTTCCAAATAGTTTTGTTGTGAGGAAATAAGCGTTTAAATTTCATCTTAAAACACTATCGTGGACTTACGTGTTCGAAAACATTTTCTATTCTAACGTAAGTGACTCTACGGTTGAGGTTAGATGCAAACACGTACAATCATGTTAGTCTACATTTCCTTTGGCAGCTATTCTAAACAGATTAATTGGATGTGGATTCACTGTTCAACACACAGTCCACACGAGCGAGTATTCTCTAGGAGTTGTTGATGTCGAACACCTATTAAGTATAGTGACTTTCGCAACATTATAATAAACCTAACGATTGTTTTCTTACCTAGTAGTGTACGTGTCCATCATAGAAGATGAATATTCTCCGATGTATGAACACACAATAATGCATGAAGTCCCAACATTTTCATTCATTATTATGTAAAACAACCTCCTATTTTCTTTTCATATTATATCATCTTTCAACATAGTCTTTAAGGTATGTATCGGAGTTGACTCTCGTATCATTCATATAATGCACATAACATATCCTTCGACGTATCATGCACGTCACAACATATTTGTACCGTTAAACGTGTTACACCATAGCATATATCATATCTTGATCAACACATCATTTCATAACACATGTCAAGATAACATACCACCGACATTTCATAAACATATCTCACATATCATACCATAACTACAAGGCATATATCATCGTACAAAATATCACCGTAATCACCGTATAGTAAGATCACTTACCTTATTAGCGTGACATAGTTAGTAAATAAATAGTTAAATGGTTTTTGGAGCTAGAAAGCTTCCAATGGTGTTAACCAATTGTGTCCGTTCCAAAATTACAAAACCATAAGCTACTCCTCCCAACCTTCTAGAACCATTGACTCCGAGTCCCCGACATCTTCCTCGAAAATAGAACCAATATACTCTCTACTACAACTTATGCTCGACGCAGACGTCGACCCAACATCTTCGTCGTACCCGAACAATGCAGCCTTTCTCTTCCTCCTCATCTCTTGCCATTTCCTCAACAACTCCACCGTTACCTCGGCCATCTCATCGAACGACTTCTCCACTTCCTTGCTCATCGAAGCTTCTCGATCAAAACCGAAACGAGCCACCGTCACTGCACGAAACACGATCGGCCTCCAAAAGTACACGAAGATCGCTAGAAACGTTAGGTAAAAATAGAACGATGTCCATAGAAAGCAAGTCCATCGCCATCGATGGACCAACTCTTTCGTCCATGGTAGTTTCGAGTTTATTAGAATATGAGCTTCGTAGAGCTCGGGGAGGGCCGAGGTTCCGATGCGAGGGGTGATAGTAACTTGAATGGCTCCGCTTCGTTGGTAGCTTTGTTCTTTGTGCTTTAGAACAGGGAAGGTTAGCTTTTGAGATTCGGTTGAGAGTCCTAAGAGTAGAGGGAGACCCGAGAGAAAAGTTCGTGTGAACCGAACCGGCGTGCTTCTGAACCGGAGCATGCAGGGTTGGCTTGAACCGGCTATTATGTTCCCATTTGTTGATATTAGCTCTGCACTCAACTGATGAGTAAAAGTATTTATATCCCCAAATATAATTTTAATTTCAAGTAAAACAACTAATAAAATGTTTTATTTTCTAAACTTTTAAAAGATTAAAAAAAAAACATTAAAATTTCATTAATGTTTAAAAATAAATTAATTTTCAATAACACCCTAATTTTTTAAAAAAATATTTCAAAAATACCCTTAATTTTTTAAAAATAACTTTTTTTGAAAACTTTTATATATAATTTATATGGAAAAAAAAGGTATTAACGATATTTTAAAATTTTTGTCAATTTTTTTATTTTGTTAATATATTTTTTTAAAATAGTAATAAAAAGGTATTTTTGAAATACTATTATGAAATTTTTTTAGAACTAAAGGGTATTTTTTAAAACAGTTTCTATCTCAAATTAAACTAACAATAAAATTTAAAAAAAATTAAAGAGTTATTTATTTATTTATTTTAAATTTAAGAGTATTATTGAAATATTAAAAAAAATGCAGAGAAATAAATTACGTATAATAAATATTAAAAAAATTACCTGAAAAACTCCAACCGCCCGATTGAACTGAGATTCAGGCATCAAAAGAATCACCGATACAGAAAACGTGTGCCCTACCGGAATCCCCAAATTCTTCGTCTTCTTCGTCTTCATTCCACCTCTATAATCCACTCCGTACAATGCCCTAGGGCGCGCCACAGTGTAATCGAAGTTCAAATTCCCCTTCGTTGCCACTGGCTCTTCGATCCAGAACCTAATCGCCACCGCGCTCACACTCGCCGCTGTAGCCAGAAGCAGGGTCATTACCATGCACATGAACGCCGCCGCCACAAGGCCGTAACTCAGTCTCCTCACTGCCAGCCTCACCCGATACGCCACGGCAGAGGGGGATTTTCGGACGGCGTACTCGACGGTTGATTTCGCCTCTTCTGCGCGGTGGAATGATTCCGAGATTAGGGATAGGAGAGTGGAGATTGGAGCGATGAGGAAGGCGATGGCGTGGTAGATTATATCCGCTTGGATGAATACGATTTTGTTGAATAAATCGGAGGGTTTCGCGATTAAGCGGCCGGATTCTTGGAGTTCGTCGTCGGGATCCATGGCGGCCTGGTCGAGAGTCGAGAGAGACGGGGAAACAGAGGTAGGAATTTTGAAGAGACGAAATGTGGTGGTTTTCACACGTGTAAGAGATGCATGTGAAGGGTGTATGACGTGGCGTTTGCCATTTGCCACCTGGCAAAAGGAGTTCAGTTTCATGCATAAATGCTTATCCTTTGTTTTAATTTTATTCCATGCAAACATTTTGGATTAAAAAAATTATTTTTTGCACAAATATTCTCATTCATCAAATTGCAATTAAAATTTAAATAACACTCCATCTTAATTTTAAACCTTAAAAATGGTTATAATTTTAATTTTGACTTAAATTACAATTTTGTCCCTATAATCGAGTAGGGATATCTTAAATACTCGATGTTAAGAATCATGAACCTTCACCCAAGTTAGATTTCAAACGAGGCTGTATCACTAAATCGATACACAAATATAATCTTAGTTCTTACCATTTGATTTGGTTTCTTTTGTCAATAGGATATCGTTCAGAGCAAGTGTTTTCAATGCAGGCTTAATCTATTGAAACTTAAGCGAGTAGATTGCAAACCACCGAAAGTGATTGCATTTGCATAGTGTCACAGTCGTACTTTTGTTCTCTTCAAAGCTTGTCATGGTATTAAGATCACGACAATGCACGATTCGAAAAGTATCGACCGTGACACATAGTTGCAACCCAGAAGCCCCCGTTTTATATGTTAAACAACAAGTAAATTGTAAACCACATAAAGTGCTTACTTGCATTTGCATAGTGTAACAGTCGTACTTCTGTTCTCCTTAAGCATTGTCATGAACCAATCAAGATCACTGTTGGATCGGTATGGCAACCCTAGAGGGGGGGTGAATAGGGTTTTAACGATAAAAGTGTTTAAACTTGATTAATTTTTTTTAATGATAAAACTTTTTACAAATAAGTAGAAGATGATAATTACTAAAGCAAAATAATTCAAGTCAAAACAATAATCAAGTAGAACATGCAATAAACATAATAATAATCTTGAAATTAAATAGGAAAGAGTTAGAGAAAATGACACCGTAGTTTTATAGTGGTTCGGTCAAACTCGACCTACTCCACTCCCCAAGCGCCTCTTGGGAATTTGAATAAAGAACTTTTCCGACTCTTTCCACGGATCAGAGCCAAACCGGTACACCGCTCTTTTTACGAGTTCAAGAGCAAACTCAATCCTTTCAACGACGCAGGATCAAACCGATACAAGTATTTGAGTTTGATAATAACATACCACAACTCTCTCAAAGAGTAGATTTACAATTTGGGATACTGACAACTATTTCCTCACAATATAATAATAATCCCTCTCAAGAATAAGATGAAAAGAAATAAACTTGTAAGCTTGGAGAGAGCAATAAACAATGGAGACTTTGAACAAATGAGGATTGAAGAATGTATGTAAGTTGTATATCTTAAAAATGTGGGGAAGATGAGTTTATATAGAGGAGAAAAGTGGCAAAATGTAGGATTGAATATTGACCATTGGATTGTGTTAGGAATAATGGAAGGTGGAGATTAAAAGTAATTAAGTAAGAAAATTTTCTAAATTCATTTATTTCAAAATTTTAATATAATAGTAATATAATATAATAATAATAAAAAGTTATGTGAGTAACGGTAAAGTGTAATTCAAAATTTATTATAAATATAATAATATAATAATAATAAAAATGATGTGAGTAACTACCAAAATTTTAAAATATAATAATATAATAATATAATATAGTAATAATAAAATTCGATGTGAGTAACGGTTATATTCAAATTTATATTTGTAAAAATAATTTTATTTAGAAATGTAATAATAAGAAAAACTCCACCATGTGTTACTCTTCCAATATTATAAATGTCATACTTTGATATATTTTGATTTGTCCATCATTTTGATTTTGTTGCCACATCATCACGTCGGGTATGTTGTCTCGACTCTAATTTCTTCGTTTTAGCTCTGATTTGAGTAATTGAAAAGTTGTTGTAATTGTTATTCCCGACCTTATACTGTGGACAGTTCAAAAAACTGAAAATAGTTAATAATTAAAAGTAGGTTTGTTATCATCAAAACATCAATAATTAATTCATTGAAATTAATTAATGTGAGATCAAGGGCCAATAAGCCAACAATCACGACGATGCACGGCTCAAAAATAGAAAGTGCTTACGCTTGGCATAGTGCACAGTCATACTTTTGTTGTCCTTAAGCCTTGTTATGATAGCATCACAGTTCAAATAGTAACACATAGCTGCAACCCATGTGTCATGTGCTCAAACTTACTACTTTTAGCAGAAGAATCGCCCACCTGAACTCAGTTCTAAACACAAAACAAAGATTCAAAATGATCAAGTTTTTCATTAACCTGTTGCATACAACAATAAAGGCCACATAACGCAGCAGTTCATCATTCAAACCACATAACATAATCTTAATGATAAATATAAAAGACATCAACACCATTACTGACAAGCTCTTGCTCATGCTCTTGTCTAAACAATATCATCCTGCCATCAAAATCTTTGAAGAACACTTCTCTAAACAGACAACTCAGTCCGTGAAACCAGAATCCCATCGGTATCAGCATACAGCCACTCCCCATCCATGATCCTTGTCCCGCCCACAGTTATAGGGACGTGCTTCTCTCCAACCCGCTTCTTGTTGGCTTTCATTGGATGTGAAGCCAGAGCCCTGACCCCAATATCACACCCATTGATTTCATCCACGTCTCGGACACAACCATTCACAACTATGCCAGCCCATCCGTTGTTCTGAGCTTGGACAACAGGATTGCCACCCAATATTGCACACCTCTTGCTACCGCCCCCGTCCACCACAAGAACTCTGCCCTTACCCTTCTCCTCCAGGAACTCACGGACCAACACATTGTCTTCAAACACCTTTAGTGTCACTACTGGTCCTGAAAACACTTGGCGTCGCCCATATATCTGGAAGATTGGCTCCAGGGCTCGGAGTTCACCACTCACAATGAGCTGTGGATTAGCATCACAAACTTCTGCAGTGGTAACCAAGGCCATTTGCTCCCAGCACCTTATGTTTGTAACCAAATATTGAATTTAGTGAACCAGAGATTCTACTATTTGGTCATTTCTTGAAAGAAAACACAAGTACAAGGACTTTGCTGATAAAGACACTATCAGAAGCAAGTAAAAGAAAAAGGCTTATATGTTCGTGTGCAGTAGAAAGCAGAACATCACAACCAACTTTGAGCCATAGCAAAACAATGAGCAATATCCTCTTGGAAAAGATAGCACACTTATTTGAAGGCTCTTGATCACAAAGGTCAATGACAATGTCAAGGGTTTATCCATGTCATTCTTGTATTTGTTGTTCGGTTCTTGTAAAGTGGAGCTCACGAGTTACCAGAAACGCATTTAAAAGTTCAAATTTTCTATACTATTTTAAAAACTACAACATTTAAATATGAATAATTATAACCCTTCAAGGTCACTGCTAGTAGATATTGTCCTCTTTCGACTTTTCCTTTCGAGTTTCTCCTTAAGGTTTTAAAACGTGTCTGATAGAAAGAAGTTTACACACCCTTATAAAAAAATGTTTCATTCTCCTCTTTAGACATACTCGAGGTAGGATACTTCTCTCATTGTGACATTCCCCAACTTATAAGGTTCTACAACCAGGAAACAAAGAAGCAAGGTAGCAGTTACAAGGCACTAAGAAGAAGGAACAAAATTATGATTATTTTATGTCTTTTAAGCCATAAATTCTATCAAACAGCACTAAAGCTGTCAATTCACAAGATCTTAGCTTTGTCCCTAGAACTGTGACCTCATAACATAAACTCAACAACATAGAGTTCTTCACTCTTCTAGGCATCAGCAAGGATAAGTTGAAAAAGGTCAGCAGCTTAAGCCATAAAGCTTGCACAGTAGAATAGAAAGGAAGAGATGACCTTGGTCTTCTCCTTGTTATATATCCTTCCAGGGAAAACCAATTTAATCAACCAAAAACAAGGGGTTTTTTCCTTTGAACTTGAATACCATCTGAAGTTTGCATCCAAAGATTACATTTCGCATTGCACTCTCATATCTCAGGAACAACCCAATCCCACCGCTAATAGATATTTCCCACTTTGACTCGTTATGTATCGCCGTCAGCCTCACGATTTTAAAACGCGTCTACTAGAGAAAGATTTCCACACCCTTATAAGGAATGTTTCGTTCCTCTCTCCAATCGAAGCGTCCTCTTTGGCACACTGCCCGGTATCTGGCTCTGATACCATTTGTAACCAACCCAAGCCCATCGCTGGTAGATATTGTCCTCTTTGTTCCAATACATATCGTCATCAGCCTCACGGTTCTAAAACACATCTAGTAGGGAAAGGTTTCCACACCCTTATAAAGGATGTTTTATTCCCCTCTCCAACCGATGTCTCCACTCTCCCTCTATTCGACTAAAGGCATCACTTCTTTCTCACAACTCTTCTAATCATACCATATTTCTCTTTGCAAGTTCTAGCTTTTCAATACAGAAGGTAAGCAATTACCATAAATATATTAGTTTTGTTCTAGAAAAGAAGAAAAGAAAAAAAGACAACAGTTATCAGATGAGATCCCTGCTTCTTGATTATCCATGTACTTTTCTTCTTCTGCCTTAAAGAATGATTACAAAAACAGAGAGCTAAAGGATAAAAAAGCAAGCCAAAAAGCACATAGCCACATACAATGTATTGTGGTGCAGAGATTTCATTCGGGAAAAAATAACATCAAATCCAAATCAGACAAGTGGCAAGGTACATATGAATGCGATAAATTGATGAACAGAAAAAGAGTCATGAAATCAACACAGAAATGATTGATCCCATTGCGTACAAATCCCATTAATCCTCAATCTCCACGATCCAACGTTTAGAGTAAATAAACAAACAAAACAACGTTAACAATGGAATTCACAGATCTAAACAAAAACCCATCTGAAATCCGAGAAAACGAAATAACCAACATGATCAAACCCAATTAATCAGCTTCAGAAACACAAACTTTACTCATTTATAACCTGAACAACAACAAAAATGAAAAAAAAAATAATAAAAGAAACATTGATTTTTGGTGAAAACGAGCATGAAACAATTGAGAAGAACGGAAATCTGAATCGCGCAAATCAAAATCAATTTGAAACAGGAAAAAAGCGAAATGAAAAGGACAGAAGGAATGAAATACCTTAGGAAGATGGGGCGGAAAGGGAGTGTTGAAGGTGTAGAGGAAGGAAGAAGGAGATGGGGGGGATTGAAGAACAAGTGAGAAAAGCAGAGGAAAAGATGGAAGACGATTGAGTGAAAAGGGAAGAAATTCTGAGGAATCAGTTTGTTATGTGAAACCCAATTATGGCACTCACCTTCTCCTAAATATAACTAAATCTTCCCTTTTTTTTTTTTTTTTTTTTTAGTTCGTTTAAAAATTTAAATAAGAGGAAAATTCATCTAAAAAAAGTTCAACCATTTTTTAGAATATTATATCATCCATCCAATCAAAACATTTAGAATATTGAGAAGAAAACTAGTGTACAAGATGAGTATCAATGCTACTTTCATGGATAGGCACCATGTGGATGAGTATCAATATTACTTTTATTCTTAGGCAATATGTCAAACTTATTAATTTAAGAATGACGTAGTTGATTCGAGTTTATAAACCTATTATCTTTGTCTAGATTAGCCAATGTGGGACAAACATCAACAGTTATTTTCGATTATATTTAAGATATGAATGTATGTATATACATGTAATAGTCCATGCCTGCCAATAGCAGATATTGTTCTCTTTGGATTTTTTCTTTCGGGTTTCCCTTCAAAGCTTTCAAACGTGTCTACTAAGGAGCCACACCCTTATAAAAAAAGTATCTTTCTCCTCTCCAACTGATGTGTGATCTCACAATCCACCCCCCCTTCAAGGTCTGGGATCCTCACTGTCACTCGTTCCCCTCTCCAATTGATGTGGGATCTCATGATCCTCCCCCCTTTGGGGTCTAGTGTCTTCGTTGACACTCATTCCTCTCCATCAATGTAGGATCTAATAATCTACCCCATTTGGGGCCCAATGTCCTCACTGGCACATCATCTGGTATTTGGCTCTAATACCATTATGACGATGTGATGATGTTATATGATGATGCATGATAGTATGATGATGTAAGATGCATGATAATGTGCATGTACTAAATATAATGATGCAATATGACAAAAGTTTCTAAGACACAACCCTATTTGATGTTAATGATAATGAACGTATGAAGGCCAACGCATGCAAGTTACTTAGAAAAATGTATGAATGATATATAAGGCTATGTCATAAGAATAATTTAAAGATGAAAATTATAGGGACTTCATGCATTTTATTTGTTCATATGCACCAAGTTACTTCCCCATTTATGATGATGAGTACGGACGCACACATTATGATGATGATGATCATCATCATGTCTCGCATGACACTTACGGGTTTCTCACCTCCAAACATCCAACTACGGACAACTAGCTCAACTATGATGGATTTGGGGAGAGGGTGCGAACCGCATGGGAATTCACGCTCGCATGTGTGGATCGTGTGTAGGGTACTACACATCCAATTTTGTTTCGTCTGGAATGGAGGTCAACCCTGTAATGATTTTAATGATAGGTCCCTAATCATGAGTTGCATGTGTTGGCATTCCCTAACTCCAACAGTGAGGCTACTTACTGAGTATTTTAATCCCTGTAATGATTTTAATGATAGGTCACTAATCATGAATTGCATGTGTTGGCATTCCCTAACCCCAATAGTGAGGCCACTTACTGAGTATTTTAATCATGAGTTGCATGCATTTGTATTCCCTAACCCAATAGTAAGTCCCTAACCCCAATAGTGAGATCAATGAGTATTTTAAGCATTCCCTAACCCAATAGTGAGTCCCCAACCCCAAGAGTGAGGTCACTTACTGAGTATTTTTTAAAATACTCAAGCTATGTGCTACTCCTATTCCAAGTAAAGACAAGACAACTTTGTGCAGCTGATGACAATATCGCAAGTAAAAACCATGATACATGCATTTTATTTAGTATTTCCTTACATTGTTTTAAAGACGTTTTCGAACATGTAAGTCCATGAGAGTGTTTCATGATAAAGTTTGAACGGTTTATTTATAGATAATAGAATATGCTATAAACCGTAATATTTTTAGGTTAGTAGAGATCCAAACGGTCATTACATATTTTATTTTATTCACAGACATTCTTCTCTCACATATCTTATTCTCAAATAGTATAACATAACCTCAAACCAAACAGTCGCATAGAGGATGAGGTTTAGATCTCAGGTCAACTTGTGAATTGTTTTCATGTCAGCAGCTTCCTTGAGAGTCCCCTTCTCCACATGATCCCACCATTTGTACAGAAAATTGTCCACAACAAGCCTGAACCACGGAGACAGCTTCAAGCCCTCTTCTCCAGCATCTACTTTCCTCACAAGCTCCTTCAACTCCTCCTTGTTTACGTACTTCACATCCGCCACTTCGTTCGGGTTCGGGTTCACATTAACATCTCGAACGATGAAGAGGAGATAGTCCACTGCACGTTACACTTATTAGAAACAAATGTGATACCAATTCAAGTTGTAAACAGATGAGTTATAGTCAGGGAAAGTACATTCATGCTCCCCCCATTTGACATCTGAGGGTGCCTTGTATAGCATTCGACCAACCGGAATGATCTGGTCAACCGGGATATCTTCAGCAGGAATACCGAGTTCATGCAACAGCTTCCGTTGGGCAGCCTTCCTTGCACCTGGTTGTTGTAGATGTAAAGGAAGATCCATATTAAGGAGGTTCAAAAGTAGGGAGCAGATCTAACGTTTGTTATTGACATACCAAGGGCATCCTCCTCAATTAGATCAGATTCTTTATACAATGGATGGCTGCAGCACGAGTCCGTCCACGCAAGCGGAAACGTCACCTTTTTAGCAGATCGTTGCTTCATAGATAATATAGGATTAACCACGTTAATGACAACCAAACCATAGATGCCATGAAAACAATAGTTCATTTCTGTCAAAAATATCATCAAAAGAAATGCATATTGACTATCACAAACTTTAACTCGTTCCATAGAAGTTAAGGAGAGATCTTCGTGAAAAGAGACTAATGGCCAAAAGATACAGACTCCAAAGCTTAAAAGGAAATCCAAGCAAGTGGTCGTTCAAGACGATCACCGAAAAGAACTCGAAGAGTATATATAGATCAAACAGCAATGATTTCAGAGACCATCCAACTCGAAGAGTATATATAGATCAAACAGCAACGATTTCAGAGACCATCCGAATCAAACCTAAATAACATACCTGAATAAGCAGTTCATATTTGGAGTTGAATAGAAAGACGCTGAAAGCGCGATGCAGTGAGTTCTTAGATTCGATATTTTCCATCAAGTGACCTGCAGGTTAGATGAGAACATTGGGCATTATCAATCTACCTCGAGGTTCGTGGTTCCTAACAAACCATAGCAAGGAGACAGAGTTCAATCATGACGGTTAGCTTTGTCATAAGAACTTGCTTCAAAGAAATCAATACAGGAAAAGATTTGACTTACAGGTATACTTGGATTCATGACCCACGACACGATCGTTCTCATCCACTAAAATGCATCTGTCCAGCAACATAGGAGGTTGGAAAATATATTAACGAGTTCAATTCATCAGAGACTAACTTTTGAATTTAGTGGTGATTTAACCAAGACAAAGATCTCAAACTTGAATTCGTGCAACATTTCTTACTTGCAGATCAATGGGTACGGTGGGATCAAAGTCTTGGTCATGCCCATTATTCAAACCCAACCTAACCCGGCTCCTATAATTTGGGTTGGGTTGGTCCGAGTTGTTGGGTTGGATGTACACCCTATTATGGATCAAAGTAACATGATTTCCGCAATCGATATTATACAACATTTATAAATATTTTGTAATATATTTATAAACCATGAAACTAATTTCTTTTTAAATTAAATTGAATATAAACTAATAATTTATTGATGAATATAATTATGTTATATACTTTTTATATAATTAATATTTAAAATATGATATAATTTATAATATATTATATTACACTTATTTAGTTTAACAAAAAAAATTCAAATTTAGTTTGTAATATGAATATTATATCTATTTTTAATATAATATTACATTATCCAAAACGTTAAAAAAAATAATAACATAAAAATTAATAAGTAATTAATTATAATTATTTAAAAAATAATTTATTGCCAACTCATTTTAATTAATCATAATTAATTGGTGAAAATTAAGATATCAATAATTAGTTCATTAATATTTTTCAATAAACAAGTAATTGAATTTATTTAATAAACTTTTCGTACATTCTTAATGTTATTACATTATTGCTTCTCATCCCTTGACATAACGTCTCTCTATTTTAAATTTATTATTTAATTATCTTTTATTAAATAATGTCAAAATTAATTATTGTGGCATTATTATTATTATTAAATGAATTTATTAACACATTATTATTTATTCTTACCCGTGCATAATTAATAAAAAAAAATACCTATAAACTTTACACTTTGAAGTTTTAAAAGTTTTATAATACTCAAATTTTTAAAAATACTCGTAAACTTTTTAAACTAATATAAAAAAATTTGGAGATAATCTATGAACCGTCGATAGACAGTTTTTGTATATATATTAATGGTAAGAATTTTTTTAACTTTTTTTTATAAAGGTTAAAAGTGTTAATTCTATTTTTAAAATTTTATAGATATTTTTTAAATATAGTATTTTTAACCCAAAAAAAATGGTATTATTAAAAATTTTGAAAGTTTAAAAGTATTTTTGAAATAAAATATAAAATTTTAAAGTATTTTAACTTTAAATTATTAGTATACATATATTAAGTTATTATTAAAATTTCATTAATCATATTCACAAATTTTTAATAAATTTCAGTGTTATCAACTATAATCTATTTAATAAATTCTTAAATTGATTTATTTTAAGCTAAATTAAAAATTAAAAATTAAAAATCTTATTATTCATAAATTTTATTGACAATTAATGATAATTAATTTATTAATAAAATGAAATTAAACCCTACCAAAATTGAGGGAAAATAATATAGATTCTAATAGATATTAATCACGGAACGCTCGTTAATCCTAACCCTACCAATGTCTCGTACTAACTTAAGATCCATGAAACTAAATGCAATTACCCTATGCATGTGTTATGATCTTTAATTGTGATGTTGATATCAACCATATAGAGGTGTCTTACATTTACTTGAAACATAGAAGTAACACATGACTTGAGTATTTAAGAAATACTTACTAAGTGATCGTATTATTGGGGTCATGGAATGCAAATACATTGAATCATGATAGATAAATTGGATGTGGTCTCCACTTCGGACAAATTGGATGTGTAGTACTTCCAATGAGAAGGAGTGCTTACGACCATGAATCTTAGTCATTGTCTCGGTTTTATTTTTCGTATCTTACATTTATGTACTCTAGAATTTTCCTAGACGTTTATGTTATGTTATGTTCTCTGTTTTATATTTATGTTATTGCCTATAAATGTATGATAAATATAGTATCATAACATACATGCCGAAAGTACATGCATCACATACATCCATAACATGACATAATATATCATAACATACTCGAAAGGACACGTAAATAGGACACAGGGTATGTGATATGTATGTTGCATTTGTGAGTAGACTTGGAAAATATAGTAAAATGAGCATTTGTGCTTCGGCCAATGACTAAGTTTCTTTTCAATTCTATATAGTTTAGGTTGCATGTAGAATCATTCAAGTTCGACATGATCAATCTTGCTTGTTGAGTGATTCGAATATCAAACAAGTGTTCTTGCATTTAGATATTTTATCAACAAGAATCATTCAAGCTCGACATGATTAATCTTGCTTGTAGAGTGATTCGAATCTCAAACAAGTGTTCTTGCATTAAGATATTTGTTCTTGCATTAAAATGAGCATTTGTTCTTGCATTAGCGTTTAAAAAGCTCATAAATTTTGATCAACCCAACACATCCAGTATGGTAAGTAAGTTGAATTTGAGGCTCATAATTCCTTTCGAGAGCTTAGGGAGGATAGGGTTTGTTTGACCCACCTTTATCGTAGTACATAATGTGTTTCATGTCTCTATGCTATGGAAATACACTTTGGACCCTACACACGTCATAGAACATGAGGCACTTCATCTTTGAGTGGGTTTATTTTACTAAGAGGAGTCTATCATGTCTTTTGGCTGGCCTAGAACGTAACACATTTTGTGTTGTGCGTGGTATAGCGCGTCAACATCTAGTGGTGACGTAACACTTGGATTCAACTTGCACCTATGAATTGACTCTCAATCTGACCAATGAACCAAGACACGATCTGGTTCAACAACACGACCCAATCCACCTGCCTGACCCGACCCAACTCACAACATGCTATTATGCGTACACCACGTGTCACGACATTGTAGTAAATCACAATCCAACATGCGTCACAAGAGTTGGATCGTTGAACCAGAAAGCACCACATATTGCCCACCCATCGCAACTCTCCTCTACTGGGCGCATAGTACTCGCATGTAAAAGGCTCTTCTCATGCATAGGGGAGGGTGGGTTTCACTTCATTCAACCGTCACTTAACTAATTTTTAGTTTGATTTCAATACTAACCCTAATTTTCTTTTCATTCTAACCAATCATAGAAATTTCCATAAATTTTGAGATCTTAACCTACTAAAAACTAGTTAGGAAGGCAGGCATCATCCTGTAAATAGTCACACAGGCTTTAAGAACACTTGTATGGATTGTTAGAACGTGTTAGCAATCTAATTTTAGGCCTATCTTTCAACCGATTTTAACTGTCAACTAATTTTAGGCCTATCTTACCTTCTTTCTAGGATTGATCCATTTTTTGAAACCTATAAATGTAGAGGGGAAGGAAAAGAGAAGTCACGAATAAAAAGGGACAAAAGGAGGGGGAATTTAGATAGCAAGGAAACAAAATGAAGTCCTTGCTAATATGTTTAGCTTTAATTAGCATGGTGGTGACGAGCCCGGAAGTATCAGCCGAAAAGAAATTTCTTAAATTTTCAGAATGTCATCACCCTAACCCACCTCCACATTGTTCCTTTGGAAATAGGGGCTCTATACCTGTTCCCGCTAATCCCTATAATCGAGGATGCTCTGCTATCAATCGTTGTCGAGAAGGATGATGATTTTAATCGATATTTAACGTTATTTTCTTCTTTAATATTTGAAGGAAAAATGAATGAAGAGTGTTTATGCTTACATTTCATGAATCATGTATGTAATATCGGGTTCAAATGAGGCCATTCAATAAAGAGTTTTATTTTTCAGATCGAAAGACAATTTAATTTTTGGACAAATTAATTTATACCATTGAAATTTGGCTGTTATGTCAAAGTTAACTTCTAATAATCTTTTGTCGTCGAATTTCTTTCGATAAAACATTATATATTAATTAATGCTTCGAAAGGCCAGCTCAACCCAACCTATACCAAATCCAAGCCCACTTTCCATACGTACACATGCCACACCCTCGGTTTGGGCTCCAACTCGATCAATGGGGCAATTTGAAAGTTTTGTTAGAAAATTTGAAGATTAGGGTTAGGTGAGCTTGTCGACTAGCTTGGGTTACATGCGAGTCATTTTTATATTGAATGACAGACGACTCGATATGTATGCATTGATTAGTATTTCCAAGTATTATGGAACCTTTTTGTATGCACAACAACACCTGACCTAGTTGTGTGCATGCGAATTATTTTGGATTATGTTTACTACCTTTTGAAATCGAGAAATTTCTACCGGAGCCGGTGCTATACGGGAACAATTAGCCGATCTGGATTTGCGACTTATTATAGATTATTCGTTGGTAGAATGGAAAGAATTAGGCGAAGAGGGACCTGTTCATTTGTGTGTTAGAGCTTATCAATGTCAAATAGTTTATCAAACCTTTAGTTTCTCGATATTTGTTGTGACTGCATGCATATCTAACTCCAATGCGTGTGAGCATGAGCCCACCAAGGGTTCGCACACTCCTTATGCCCATCATAGTCAGGTTAGTTGGTTGTAACCGGATGTCTAGAGGTACAACAAACCCTCGAATATCATGCAAGACATCATCATCATCATAGTGTACGTGTTCATACTCGTCATCATAAAAAGGGAAGTTTCCCGACTAATAAATGAGCATGCAGTATGCATGAGATCCTTATATTTTTCATCTTAAAATCATTCATGTGACACAATCACAGACATTCTTCACATGTTACTTTAGGTAACATGCATGCATAAACATTCGTACCTTCATCATTTATAATATCATCTAAGGGTTGTGTATTAGAAAACTTATCATAATGCAACATGACATTTCATACATGTATATCATCTTAACATGAGGTATTACCGTATCATGTCATATCATCATCATGCATCTCATGTCATCACATCATAATACATCATCATCTTAAAGTATCATAGTAACATAGTACATCACATCATCTTAACATCGTAGCATCATCGCAACATATCATAATGTCATATAAAATCACATCATCATAGCATCATCATAACACATCCTAATACCATAATAACATACATGACACGTGCAAGGGTTATTGGGCACGTGTCATCATACATAAGACAAGTTTTTTGACCGAATTGATATTAGGGTCACTTACTTGGATGGCCTTAACCGAAGTTCTCTTTCTATAACTTAGTTTGCTTTTGTCCTTTAAGTTCTTTCTCACTCATACAAAGCTTCACCTATTTGAATATTCGCTAAATAGTTTCAGTGATTCTAATTTCATAACTTAATTTAACTTGAATCGAGCAAATGAGAGTTATACAAAACTTAAATCCTTTTGATAAGTCGAAGTTGAATTTAGCACCCGATAGTCGTTTGCTCTTTTCATTTTCTACGTCTCTATCCACTTCTCTTTCACACACGAGGCGATGGAGGCGTTCGTGTAACCTAAAACAGCGAACCATGACGTAACTGTTTATAGAAAAATAACCTCCCTTACCGACAATAAGACCACGTTGAATACCATGAAAATGGACGTTGTTTGGCATACTTGGTGTGTCCTGAGTTGCCCGTCACCACTTCTACAGCGTGTCGTTCATTACGGCGTTGGGTCAAATCTCTCTGTCTCGTCGGCATCGCACTCAGAAGAGAAGGTTTTCGTTGGATTTCCTTCTCTTTGCACTTTGCACTTTGCACTTCGTTATTCTCAAATGGCATGAGGGTCCAGTTGATTGAAGCGTTGAGGGAATGTGGCCTTTGTAGGAGTCGAGGGTCAGTTGAAAACATGAGATCTCCAACACCTCGTCGGAAATTTGCGCAGAGCTAGGGCAATATTAGAGTGAGGTTACCTAGGTCAAGACGCCTCCAGCAGACTAAGCACCTTAAGATCATAAGCGACGATTAGAGAGACTAGATTCCTAGTTCTCCCAGACTAAGAAAGACACGAGGAGTCAAAATAGAGCAACCTACAGTCAAAAGTCCTCGTTAAGCTACCTAATTATCTTAGGAATCTAATAGACCACACCTCAATCCTCAGATATGACTAAAGTGAAGTTCAAATTGTAAATTACGTACTTGGGTGATCCGGAATATCTCTCTAGCAAAATATGCATGAGAAAACTCAACTAAGATTAGGATACTACAATAAGTGCAGTTTACACGTAAAATCTAATGGTTCGATAATTCAACCTTACTTTTATTTAAAAATTAGGTCACATTATTAAATATAGTGAAAGAAATTTTCAATTTCCACCAAATAACAAAACCTACTGTCAGTTAAGTTATTCGTAGAAGACTGAAAAAGTAAGCATTATTGAGCTGTGGAAGAAATGGATTCAAAAACTAAAAACAACAAGCAGGTTGATTGTTTGAGCTCTCAGGTCAACTTGTGAATTGTTTTCATGTCAGCAGCTTCCTTAAGAGTCCCCTTCTCCACATGATCCCACCACTTGAACAGAAAATTGTCCACAACAAGCCTGAACCACGGAGACAGCTTCAAGCCCTCTTCTCCAGCATCTGCTTTCCTCAGAAGCTCCTTCAACTGCTCCTTGTTTACGTACTTCACATCCGCTACTTCGTCGGGGTTCGGGTTCACGTTGACATCTCGAATGATGAAGAGGAGATAGTCCACTGCACGTTACACTTATTAGAAACAAATGTGATACCAATTCAGCTCAAGTTGTAAACAGATGAGTTATAGTCAGGGAAGGTACATTCATGCTCCCCCCATTTGCCATCTGAGGGTGCCTTGTATAGCATTCGACCGAGCGGAATGAACTGGTCGACCGGGACATCTTCAGCAGGAATACCGAGTTCATCCAACAGCTTCCTTTGTGCAGCATTCCTTGCACCAAGGGCTTCCTCCTCAATTAGTTCAGATTCTCTATACAATGGATGGCTGCAGCAAGTGTTCGTCCAGACAAGCGGAAACGTCACCTTTGTCGCAGATCGTTGCTTCAGAGATGATATCGAGTTCAACACGTTAACATTTTCCGTGTTCGGAATATAGATAAGAAAAATACTAACAACAAAACAAACAAGAAAGCTGGAAAAACCATAGACATCATCAAAACATTAACTTAGTTTCAGCAAGAGACTAACGGTCAAACGATACAAACTCGAACGTTTAAAAGAATATCCAAGCAAGTGGTCTTTTAAGATGATCACCAAAAAGAACTGGAAAAGTATATATAGGTCAAACATATAACATCCCAAGTCCACCATTAGCCGATATTGTCCTCTTTGAGTTTTCCCTTCCAGACTTTCTTTCAAGGTTTAAAACACATCTACTAGGGAGAGGTTTCCTAATCCTTATAAAGAATGCTTTGTTCCCTCTCCAACCAATTTGGAATCTCACAATCCACCCACTTTTGGGGCCTAGCGTCTTTACTGGCACTCATTTCCCACTCCAATCGATATGGAATTTCACAATCCACACCCCCTTATAGGTCTAGCATCCTCGTTGGCACTCGTTCCTCTCACCCATCAATGTGGGATCTCACAAAACAGCTACCATTTTAGAAACGGTCCAAATCAAACCCAAATAACATACCTGAAGAAGGAGTTCGTATTTGGAGTTGAATAGAAAGACGCTGAAAGCACGATGCAGCCAGTTTTTAGATTCGATATTTTCCATCAAGTGACCTACAGGTTAGACAAGAACATTGGGCATTATCAATTTATGTAGAGTTCAAAGTGGACAATATCATACCACTATAGAGGTTCGTGGTTCCTAACAAACCATAGCAACGAGACAAGAGTTCTAAAGTAAAATAAGCAAATCATGACCGTTAGCATTGTCATAAGAACTTGCTTCAAAGAAATCAATAAGGAAAAGATTTGACTTACAGTTATACTTGGATTCATGACCCACAACACGATCGTTCTCATCCACTAAAATGCATCTATCCAGCAATTCAAGATCGACAGAAGGTATTTGTGAGTAAGTGAATGAATTATATCCGAGTGTACTTAGTGAATGAATTCAAACTAAACACCTTCAAAACTCTTGGCCATGCCATGATTCAAACTCAAACATTGTATCATACTAATTAAGCCAGAGATGTTCAGATCCCAGAAAATGTTAAGCATCAAATCATCAAGAACTTCAAATGAAATGTAATTCGACTGGTTTCAAACACTTGACCAACAACTTCTCATCCCTTTCCAGGAAAAAAGAGACTTAGATTTAATTCCTTCCCCATTCAAATACTTCTTCCACCAACAAGCAGAGAACATGCTAATCAGACAAACAAGAGAAAATAGGGGATCGATAAACTATAATCACGCCTCTCCACAATACATTGTCCACTTTCAGCCTAAGCTCTCATGGGTTCAGACTTAAAAATCAAATTCAAAAGAACCAAAAAAGCATAAACTGATAAGACTGGATCCAGATTGAGCATCTCAACAACTGGTCAGAGAAATCAAAAAACACAAAAAAGAATCAAAGAATCAAAGTCCAAAGCAACATCAGAAAGAGAAAGAGACAGAAACAGAAACAGAGGGCCATTAAACTGAGGTCGTTTGCAAGCGTTTTCAACGTACAACTTCCTTCAAAGGTCTCGGATACGATAATCATTCAAATTCAAGTAACGTAAAGTACAAAAAGACGGGAATAGCTCCACAAAAACCTCAAATCTCAAATCATCAAGAATGCTCCACCAGAAACAGAAAGAAATCAATCAAGAATCAACGAAAGTCAAAAGCAAAAAACAAGAAGCGAAACGAAATCTGAAACCACAAAGGGAAAGGGAATACGCACTCGTCGTCGAACATGAGGCGCTTCTGGACTTCGTCCATGCCAGAATCGAGAAGGGTATCTGCCATGGCGAGGCGCTGGGATTGAAGGGAGGAAATGAGAGAAAATCTGAGGGAAAGATTGGGAGAAGAGCGAGAAGAGCGAGATTCGAGAGAGAAAGAGAGAGTGGAAGCAGTATTTATGATCAAGAAGGGTGAGCGTTGAAGCGCTCGCCATTGTTGTGTTGACTGTTGATTGGAAGACACTTGATTTGCTTCCATGGATGACATTCTTGTTTTCTTTTCTGCGCGTGTTTTGCACGACGCTATTTGGGAGAGTGGTTGTTAAATATGTGTTTATTATTAGTTTATTAAAACTATAATTAGTTGGAAAATTTAGAATTTTGTCATGATTTAATACCCTAAATTAATAAAAATACATATAGATTTTATAAAACTTTAAATTCTTTCATTTAATAAAGTTTGTTGGTTATAAATATAAATGGCAACACTTAAATTTCATAATACCCTTTTTTTACTTTTTTTTCTTTTTTTTTTATATATTAAATATTAAAAAATATTTTTATCGTTAATACCATATTTAAAAAAAAAAAATACTCATGAATACAACTAAGATGTGTCATTCAAGGTTATTTGATTATTATCGTCATTACCAGCATCTTGTTTAGCACACTGCCCAGTGTCTAGCTTTGATATCATTTATAGTTGTCCAAGTTCACCTGCTAGTAGATATTGTCCTCTTTAGACTTGACTTTCTCCTTATGGGTTTCTCTTTAACGTTTTACAATGCGTTCACTAGAGAGAGATTTCTACACTCTTATAAACAATGTTTCGTTTCTCTCTCCAACCGATGTAGTGAGATCTCACACAATTATAAGTACGAGTTTGTACTTTTCTCGTTAGTGGGTTCCATCAACTATGTGCTTGAAGTATCTATCATCCTCAAGTTCCAACTCGCATACTATACATGAATTACCTAAAGGATCTAACGAGAATCCTACCAAACCAACTAAGTTATCTATGCAAGCCAGCCATAAATGACTCCATCACTAGTAAAAGTAGATGACCCTCGACAGTGTCATCATGGTAACATTATAACATTGGCAAGCATCGTATTGTCTTTCAACTAAGACACATATGTGGACTAACCATAGTAATCTTAGTAAAGTTGGATTGGGTTGGATTGTAACCTTATTTTCGAGTTGGTCAAGTTGACATGACAAAAAAAATGTCAACCTAGGAACCAACTAATTTTTATGTTTTCCAAAAATTCAACCCAACCGAAATCTTAAAAAAAAAAAGAAAATTAAGGTCAGGTAGTCTAGGTTGGTTGGATTCACACATCATATAAGAATACCTCTCATTTAAATAACAATAATTAACTAATTAAATACATTTAAGATATCAATAATTAATTAATTAATATTTTTCAGTAACACAAGCAATTAAATTTATTTAATAAGCTTTTATTAGTATAGCTGAATTAAATATATGTTTTATACATTATTTTGGATTTATTCTAATTAAATAACTAATTAACTAACTATATTCAAAATAAAATCATATAAAAATAATTTTTTATATAATAAAAACAATAATACTTCTTAAAAAAATCTATTTTTTTTTAATTTTTTTTTCTTTTCTTTAATATGAATTTATGATATATTTTTTATCTATTTGTTTGTGTGTGTTTTTTTTAAAACATTTTTATCTATTTCTCTTCATATTTTTTTTCATTTTTTACTTTACAAATAGTTTGTTTTTGAAGTTCCATTAATTTTTCTTAAAAATTTTAATATATATATATATATATATATTATATATATATATATTAAATAACATAATGAAAATTTATAGTGAAAAATTTTAAATTTGGTGTATAATAGGTCTATAATATATTTAAAATTGTTTTAAAAATTAAATTTATGGTATAATATTTTAATTTTTGTAAATTTTCAAAAAAGTTAAAATTTTAAAAATTTATTAGTTATTTTAAAAAAAATATATATATATATATATATATATATATATATATATATATATATATATATATATATTAACTAAATCTTGTAATTTAAGGTGAGAGAAAAAGGTTAAGAAATGGCGGCAGTTAAGAGTTTCATAAAGCTAGGCTTTTGATCATTGGCGGCCCAAGTGAGGTTCGGGCATGGCGAGAGAGAAGAGCCCTGGTCTAAAGATCCTCTGGGTTTGGACTCTTGGCACCGCCGCCATTCTCGTTACAAGCGTAGCTCGGATGAGAATGAGGGATATGGAGAGTATTATCAAGTCCGATCAACAACAATCGATGCACCAGCAGCGACAAACGACGTCTTCCACCGATTCGTTTTTCGTTGGCGAAGGTGATACATCACAGAATTAGAAGCAACAACGCCTTTGAAATTCAACTCAAACTGGTAATTTTCTTCGAATTTAGAATAGACGGTCTGGGTATTTGTTAAATTCCATTTTTAGTGGAGTGTACATAAGGTGTTTGATGAAATTCCTGAATGGAAAGAACTGCCAATTTTTCACTCGTAATGAGCTTGCACTGCCTTGAATATTTGATGTGTCGATTTCACTGAACTTTTTTATGTTAGCTGCCACATTTGGTATATAGACACAAGTATGCCTCTGTTGAATTTGATGTGATCTTTGTACAATAAATGTTTGTTGTAATTGCTGGTTGGAACTGTCCATTTTTTCACTCTTAATGAGCTTGCAACTGCTTTGACATGTCAATTTTGGGTTAAATTGATACATTTAATTGGGTTTAGATGACTTCATCTGCGCCTTAGTTACAATTTGGTGCTTGGAATGAGACTTTCTAGCCATCTAAGCTCACTCGTATTACTGTCATCTTTGGATTTTTCTTTTCGTACTTCCCCTCAAGGTTTTAAAATGCGTCGGCTAGGGAGAGGTTTCCACGCCCTTATAAGGAATGTTTCGTTCCCCACTCCAACCAATGTTGGATCTCACAATTCACCCATTTTTGGGGGCCAACGTCCTCACTGCACACCGCTCGGTGTTTGGCTCTAATACCATTTGTAACTGCTCAAGCCCACAGCTAGCAGATATTGTCTTCTTTGGGCTTTCCTTTTCGGGTTTCCGTTCTCTTCTCCAAGAATGTTTCGCTCTCTTCAACTAACGTGGGATTTCACAGTTTTTCGAGTTGGCTTCATTTTTCTTTTACAACTGCACTTTTTATCACCGCCCTTCAAAGTTCTGTCTGGGCCATTTTCAAAATCAATGTCTTGGTTCTCCTTCCTTCCATTTCCCATAGAAACTATTGTTGGTCAAATAGTGTGGTTTTCAAATTCACTGTGGGGTAGCGTTTATTAAACATTAGAACATGTTAAATTACAAATTTGGCTCTATGATGCAAGAATGTTAGAATTTAGTGTTTATGATTTTAAAGGTTAGAATTAGTCTCTATGATTTGATAAGACTTTTATAAATAGTCCCTTTCGACTATTTATGAACTTTTATCAAACCATAAGAACTCAATTCTAATTTTTAAAATCATATAAACTAATGTAGACTTGTTCCATTTGGATTAATTTTGGTCGGTTCAGTTAGTTGTTATTGGATGGCCAGTTCGCTTAATTTTGTCTTCAAAAAGTCCTCTCGTTGGTGTTATATTTTTTCTTAAATCCAATAGATTGGTTTGGAAAAGTCTTTGTTTTAGGATGTTGGTTTGCCATTGCAAATATTATCGTCTTTGAGCATAATCATGAGTTGAGGTTGCTTAACTTCGAGCAACTTCAACCCTTTATTATTAGCCTTTAAGATCAAGTTGAATGTGTGTACGGTTAGGCTGCTCCTTTACATGGAGATGAGACCAAAGTAGAGTAATAAAACGCTTCAATAGATTGGAACCATGATAATTGTGAGATCTCACATCGATTGGATAAGAAAACGAAGTATTCTTTACAAGGATGTGGAAACTTCTCCTTAACAAATGTGTTTTAAAATCATGAGATTGACGGCAATATGTAATGAGCCAAAGCGGACAATATCTGTTAGCGGTGGGCTCGAACTATTACAAATAGTTTTAGAGTTAGACATTGAGTGGTGTGCCAGCGAGGATGGTGGATTGTGAGATCTCACATCGATTGGAGAGGGGAACGAAACATTTTTTTCTAAGGGTGTGGAAGTCTCTCCCTAACATACGTGTTTTAAAACCATGAGGTTGACGATGATGCGTAACGGACCAAAAAGGACATTTGGACCTTATATGATAGGATGTTCTTGAATAGGATTTGTCTCCTTAACAACGACCTCTCCTCCTACATTCTTTCTTACGTCTAGCACAAAACTGCCTTCTAGTTTGATTACTGCAAATTATAGCATGTTGAAAGGCATTGACTCCTTTGGCTTGTATGCATGAGACATGATCCATGAGAATGTATAGGTTTAGTAAACAAAAAGGAACATTGATTAGAGAGATGAACGAGTGCTAGTGAGTGTTGGATGATGAAAGTCTCACATTGGCTAATTTAGGGAAGGATCATAGGTTTATAATCAAAAGAATACTCTCTTCATTGGAATGAGGCCTTTTGGGGAAGCCCAAAACAAAGTCATTGTGGAGAGTCGTGTTCGTTTAACTGTGAAGATCCTGAGCTTCGAAGATGGGGTGAATTGTGTGGTCCCACCTCGATTAGAGAGAAGCTCGAAAAGAAAAGTCCAAACACGACAATATCTGCTAGCGTTGGACTTGGACCATTACAAACATGCATTGTTTATATGATCTCTCGAAGGATTAATTCGTCTAATCATTTGATGTTCTGCGAAATGATTAACTATTCTCAATAAACATATTATATGTTGTTCTCGATGAATTTCCATAATATTTTCTCGTTGAGTATTTACCCCGGTAGAAATATGTTGAAGAGGGTTAAAATTTGTTTGAAATTTTAATTATTACCATTTTCAAAGCTTAAGGATATAATTTATTAAAAAAATAAACCTAACTAATAGCACATGGAATATAATTAAGAGAATAAAATATTGACAAAATAGATCTATGAAGACTAGAATGCTCAACAAGATCCAAATTATTAAAAAAGTAAGCCAATGGAGAATAATATGTCGCTAATATTCAACTTAATGAAATGGATAAATACAAATATTAGGAATTAATAGTTTAAATTCTATTTTATTCTTTTTAAATTAGTTCACAAATCTCGTATAGAAAATTGAAAAAAAAAAGTGCCGGAATCATATCTTTTTATCTATGCGTTATTTAATTATATTTTGAACTCTCAAATTTTAGATAGATAACAGAGTACCGTTCTTACCTGCTAAATTATTTTGAAAAATTTTAATCGATAAATATGGTGGTAAAAAATTATCGTTCGCTAACTTTATTACGAGTTTTGTTTAGTACCCATTGTTACGAAGAAATGTTAGATATTCTTATTCTTTTACTCACGACATTCTTTCAATTTCACACCATGTACGTCTGTATTTAAATTATTTTAATTTGTCATGATATGTCAAATATTTTTGTTTGAATTATACACGATGTACATTTTATATTGTGTGGTTGTTGCATGAAGTATGCCGTTTAGATTAAAATCACACTCTAGGTTAAGCATTATCATTCATGCATCTCTATTTTTTTAATATAATTATTAATTAATTTTTTTATTTTTATTTTTTATGTTTTACATAATTTGAATATAATGGTTATATTTGAAAATATATTTTTCTAATTAGTTTAAATTTTATTACTAAGATATTTGATTTATTATTGGATCTTATACTATAATTACTTTTAAATTTTCATATATTTAAATATAAATAGTATAGTTAGAAATTAATTAGAAAATTGAATTAAAATATCTAATAACATAAGTGATTATAATATTTAGAAATTGATTGAAAAATTAAATTAGGATTAGGATATTTTCTAAAAAAATTAAAGTTTCAATAAAATAAATATATTTTTATTCATGTTTTAAATAGTCAAAAATTTAAATTTAATTGTTTCTGAAGGATTAATTTTAATTTTATTTTAAATAGTTTAAAAGATTAGAATTTGATTATTTGTGAAGTAAAATATTGGATTAAAAACTTTACTTAAATTTAATTAGAATTAAACATTTAATGAATTGGAATTATAGTCAAATAGCGTGATTAATATTTTAATATCTTACTCGCTCGTGTGATACATCGTCTTGATAAATCGACATGATTCAACTCATTCTCTTGATAAATCATCTCTGAATCTCTCCATCGCTCGTGTTTGATATCTTACTCAACCCATGTTGATTGGTTTCTCGTTCAGTCAATGACATGGTCCAACACTCTATGTTCAACGTTATAGCAACAAGATTGGATGATCGAGTGTGGGGCTTTTGTACGATACGATGATTTATTTTTTAGTCAATTTTTAAAGACAGTATAAATTTATGATTTACAACGTTTGGTTCTCATAAATAGAGACGAGTGACAAACCTAATCCAATCTTCCAATAAGTCTTTCTTTCGCTTTGCTCGACGGGTGGGTCTTGTAGCCAAGTGTCCCGATCATGCTCATCCAAGGCGTGTTGCCCATGGCCGCATGCCCATGACAAGCCAGACCCTCTATGTTTTTCTAGCTTATGTATTTTTAGGAAGTATGAGTTTCGGAAAAATCATGTCTAGGCCTGTCAGACATGAAATACCTCATAATGTACTATATCAATATGATTAGTTGTCAACTTCTCCCTACTCAAGGTTATATACTGTGAGCAGTTGTTGTTACTCTCTTGCTTGCTTATACAATGTCTCTTTTAAAATCTCTCTTTCAAAAATCTCTCTCTACCCTTGTTTTCTAAAACCTTCTCTTAAACAGAGACTAGAGACTCGAGCATACGTCGCTTGGCCATACACGACGTAAGAATGAATTGACTTAACTCACTTGTCGTTGGAAAGTGAGTGCCCCATAATCGCAAGTCCGTTGCTATCAAGAGTGTGATTGTGACACCAAGCTCCCTTCTGCTTTTACACTCAATGACTACAATTTTAGGATTACTAGAATTGATGCTTTCCGAGTTAATATTGACTTTGATTCTCATAAAAAAGATTGAGATCGTCAGTTGAAATTTGTATTGATTTCGAGTGACGAAACAAACCAAACGAAAGAAACCAGACCTAAGATTTGACTCTATAAAATCATTTGAAATTTGTATTGATTTAAAGATGAGAGGTTGAGCAAATTATTAAATTTTGAAATTGGATTGCATGTGAGAAAAAAAAAAAAAAAATTGTTTGGAGAGAGTGGCAATTTCTGTGCCAATGATTCTGGCCCAGCAAGAACAAGGAGGAGGAAGAAGAAGAAGATGCTGATGCTGATAAAGCTCTCTGACTTTTTACGCAGTTTATCGCCATAGAACAGCCCTCAAGAACCTTGACAACAAATCTCTACAGATTTCCGATTCCCATGGTGTTCACATTGGGAGCTTCTTTCCCTATTATCTATGCCAATAGGCTGCCCACTTCCGTTACCGCCGCCGCTACCACAACCAATCCCAGTAGCAATAGCTCTACTTCCCATTTGTTCGAAGCCTCTTTCATCCGTCGCGCGGCGGAGATTGCCGATAAGTCCGCTGGACGCACCGCCCCCCATCCCAACTATGGCTGCATCATCACCACCTCATCCGGCGCCGTCGCTGGCGAGGGCTTCCTCTACGGTCAGGGTACCGAATCTGCTGAGATTCAAGCTGTGGAAGCTGCTGGCGAGCTGTGCCGTGGTGCTACTGCATTTCTTAATTTGGAGTCCAGTGATTGCCCTAGCGATAACACTGCTGTGGCTGCTTTAGTCCAGGTTTAAATGCAGATTCTGTTCTTTCAATTGATTAACGCTTGTTTAGAGCTTGATTAGTTTGAAGTTCGATCAATAATATCAGCCGTGATGTAAATCTGGTTTGAACTGAGCATGTTTGATTGATGAATCTTGTTGAATCACATGCTAAATTTGGAAGATGTTGTTTGTTTTTGTTCTGTTTTTATCAATTTTATGTTAAAATCTGCGATTGAAACTGCACAATTAGGCAGGGATTGAAAGGGTAGTTGTTGGTATGCGGCATCCTTTGCAACATCTAAGAGGAAATGCTGTGAGGGCTTTAAGAAGTCAAGGGGTTCTTGTTGATGTTCTTGGAGAGGAACTAAAGAGTAGAGCCGTTGAGGTAATTCATTGGAACTGTTGAATTGTGTTCTTTCTTTGCCTCACTTTGTTAGGTGTTGAATCGATACGATTTGATTCGTATCCTTTTTTTTTCTTGTTCTTAAGCGATGTTGTCCTTCCATAACGTACTGTTAGATCATTGTTTTTACAGATCACTTATATGAAGTGTTGATTTGTCTTATAGGAAGCTCGAAAAGAATGCTTCCTTGTTAATGCTCCATTGATTTGTAAAGCTGCGTCTCGAGTACCCTTTTCTGTGCTTAAATATGCCATGACTCTTGATGGTTGGTATTAGTATTCTAGGTTCATTTTCTTGAGTATTTTTCTCTGTTATTTTCTATTTCTCGCTTATATTTATGGTCTTTTTTCATCCAATTTTTATCTCACCGCAAACATGTAGCATTATGGTTTAATCGGAACACTATAGTTAAGTGATTTGATTTTGACTATCAGGAAAAATTGCTGCAAGTTCTGGTCATGCAGCATGGATTAGTGGTGTTTCGTCTAGACAACGAGTTTTTCAATTACGAGGAAGAAGTGATGCTGTTATAGTAGGAGGCAATACAGTACGCAGGGATAGTGAGTTATGCCATTTTTATCTGTCTGTCTTGTTGATGAGTGGTACTTAGTTGTTAATAGTGCTTCATTGTTTTCCCCCAATGTTGTCCTCTGCATTAGATCCGAGATTGACTGCAAGACATGGTGGCGGGCATATTCCTCTTCGTGTTGTGATGTCGAGGACTCTCGATCTTCCTGAAGAAGCAAATGTTTGGGACACAAAGGGTATGGCGACCATGGTTGTAACACAAAGGGGTGCTAAAAGGAGTTTCCAGAAACTGCTTGCATCAAAAGGAGTTGAAGTAGTGGAGTTCGATAATCTAAACCCTCGAGATGTAATGGAATATTTTCATGATCGTGGATTTCTTTCGATTTTGTGGGAGTGCGGAGGGACGCTTGCAGCTTCAGCCATTGCATCTGGAGTAATACATGAGGTTTTGATCTTTTCTTTTTTTATTGGATCTATATTGTTGATTCCCTGATGTTACCACTTAGTTATAGAAGATGGTGTGTGATGAACAATTCCTTCTCTTGAAAGATTTCTTCTGTTTCTTTCTTGCCAAATGTTTCTGTAAAAAGCTCTAATAAAATTCTCCCATAAAATCTTCTGCATCCTTGTGAAACGGTGCCCTCCGAGAGCGAATGAAAGGAGAAACTCTGGATCTTCTGGGAGGACTATAATAGCTCTGGAAAGTTTTCGCAAAGTGATAAGATAACAAGAGCTGTCTCTGTCATTTGGATGTTTGCAATTTGTACACCAATGTGAAGATAGAGCCATTTGGGGTATTCTTCTCTCGAGTTTGTCTCACGTATAGATTTCCTTATCAGATAGTTCCCATAAGAAAATGTGAGATCCCACATCGGTTGGGGAGGAGAATGAAGCATTCTTTATAAAAGTGAGAAAACCTCTCTCTAGTAGACGCATTTTAAAAACCTTGAGAGGAAGCTCGAAAGGGAAAGCCCAAAGAGGATAGTATCTGGTAGCGGTAGGCTTGGGCTGTTACAAATGGTATTAGAGCCAACCACGGGGCGATGTGCCAGCGAGGAGACTGAGCCCCGAAGGGGAGGTGGACATGAGACGGTGTGCCAGCAAGGACGTTAGGCCCTAAAAGGGGGTGGATTGGGGGGTCCCACATCGATTGGAGAAGGGAACGAGTGCCAGAGAGGAGATTGAGCCCCGAAGGGGGGTGGATACGAGGCTGTGTGCCAACAAGGACGCTAGGCCTTGAAAGGGGGTGAATTGAGGGGTCCCACATCGATTGGAGAAGGGAACGAGTGCCAGCGAGGACGTTGGGCCCCAAGGGGGGTGAATTGTGAGATCCCACATCGGTTGGAGAGGAGAACTAAACATTCCTTATAAGGGTATGGAACTCTCCCTAGTAGACGCATTTTAAAACCGTGAGACTAACAACGATACGCAACGGGTCAAAGCAGACAATATTCGCTAGCGGTGGGTTGGGCTGTTACAGTTAGTTTCCTTAGTTTTTATTTCCACAATCTCTTCCCATCCTTTCTTGCTCCAACAGGTACTAACAAACTACTACTCCTCTTATTCAAAGAGTTGTTGAGATCTTTAGAAACCATCCCCTTGGTTTGCCACTTTTTCTACCCAGAATGAATCTCCCTCCCACCTTGCCTTCTTGAAATTTTTTATTTTAATTTTTTTTCTTATGAGATGTTGAGTCATTCATTTAGTTATGTTTTTCAATTCAGGTTTTTGCATTTGTTGCACCTAAAATTATTGGAGGAAGGAATGCACCATCTCCTGTTGGTGAACTTGGAATGGTTGAGATGTCTCAAGCTTTGGAACTAATAGATGTTCAATATGAGAAGGTTCTTTTTAATTTATAATGTTATCATCTCTTCACTTCATCTATTTATTTGTTTATGTGCAATACTTTCCAAGTCAATCTTCTATGATATGGCCAAAATAAATGTGCTCATTTTTTATTTCCTTAATATTCCCTATTTTTCGCTCGTAAAACTAAAAACTAAAAACCAAGTGGTTATCAAATGGAGCGGAAACTCCGACTTCTTCCATATCAGTTGAAGTATTCATTTCATTTATAAGCATGCATGGATTCTATTTTGACTGAGATTAGAGTTTGGCTTACAGGTTGGAAAGGACATGTTAATTAGTGGATTTCTTCAGCCAATATTAGATGTTGCTCCTGTAATCCCATCCTGTGATGAAACCTTTGCAATTGACCCAACAGTTACTCCCTATGAGTCGAGTATCATATTCTTTTACAAAACATGGGATCCTTACGGCGCTTTTTCGAACTTTTCACGACACCCCATTCATCTCGCTGATGAAAATGGTAACGATTGCACCTGGTTGACTGTAGAGCATTATTATCAGGTGCCTTTGCTTGTGAGTTGTTTTGTCTTTCAAAGTATAGAGTATTGTCTGACCTTGATCGAATATGCAGGCTCATAAATTTGTTGGGCTTGATGATCCTGTTGCTCAGGATTGCGTAGAAAAGATCAAATCAGCAAGAAGTCCAGAGGAAGCAGCAAGGATAGGAAGATCAATGCAGAGGCAGCACCCTAAAATGGTATAGCTGCTCTTACTCGTTTTTAGTTTAAGTCGGTGTATTTCTTTCAGCATGATGTCTGGGCGTGATAATTGCATAAAACTTATAGATCTTCTGAAGAAAGATGAGGTTGATCATCTTTTCTAAAGCCCCAAGATAGCAAAAATGATAAAAACTGTTAAAAATTTCAAGTTTAGAGGGAAAAAGAACAAGATGTGAGCATGTTTGATATCTATTCCATGATCTAGATCACATGATAACCTCTGGCATCACCCGATTTTCATTACAGATAAGGTCTGATTGGCGAACAGCCAAACTCGACGTTATGTACCGTGCATTGAAATGCAAATTTTCTAGTTACCCTCATCTGCAATCTATGTTGCTATCAACTGCTGGATCTGTTCTTGTTGAAGCATCTCCACATGATCTCTTCTGGGGTGGAGGTCGAGATGGGGAAGGTCTAAACTACCTTGGAAGACTTCTAATGAAATTGAGAGCCGAGTTTCTTGGACAATCATCGACCCCAAACGGGAGCAACGTGGAGTTCAATTGACGAAAAGCACAAGAAAGAAGATTAATAATCACATCAGTTAAAGGTATTATATGATTCAGAATCCAATGGGCAATCTCCTCTTTGTGCCCCGAAAATTAGGTACCGACAAGGCTCTAATGTATGTTGAACCATTATTGTTTGACCCGAAAATTCTCTCTGATTTGGTAGGCAGCTATACTGCTGCCTATTGTATAACTTATATCTTATTGTTGAATAATGAAATAAAAAAGAGGAACATGTTCTCTATGGAAGATTTCAAGCACCGGGCATCCCCTTGATGATTTACTAGAACTTGTTTCTTGGAGGAACTTTGCTTTTGTTCTGAAATTTACTTGCATCCATAGCTTCCATCATTTTTTTTTTCTTCTGATCGAGCATTTCGAGTGAGTTTTCTCTAATTCATACATTCTCGTTATTCTCATTTTGTCTTCGTGCCCATCATTAGAGGAAGGACAAAGATTTTGCCAGAAGCAACATCTTTCAGCATGATGTAAAGGTGTTATGAGAGTATAAAGTTATTTCATATTTCTCGACCAAAGTTCAATTTTTTATTTTTTGTAAGCAAAAATGTAAAGTTCTTGATCCAATTTCTTCTTCTTTAAAGTGCGGTTACTATTCCGGACATGTGCAAATAGTCTTTAGTTTCTAACTCATCAAACGTATTAAAAGAAATCGAGAAGTATTAGCACAACCGAACAAACAAGATACCAGCATGTTAAAACACACAAACTATCAACTACCTAATTTGACTGTTGGATCTCTGGTAAGAAAAGGATTATCAAAACCTGTGAATACAAACGTTAAAGATTTTAATGCTATCACGAGCTCTGTTGAACTAGCATAAAGCTTGTACTCTCAACCAAGAAGTCAAATTTATCAAATCTATCAAGATAAAGTATGTGTTCGAGTCTATGAACTTTAGTCGAGAATATATATCTTATACAATTGCTTCGAAAAAGATTTAATTATTTTATAACATAAAATATACCAACATGATATTAAAAATGATTCACAAGTTTATATGCGTTATTTAAGTAGTTTATTCACACATAAAAATTTGTACACAAACATTGGCAGCAAAAAGCCTTAAAGAGCAGTCTGTGGGGGTCAAAAACAACCTTCAAACATCCTAACCTGGAACCAAGCAAGGCACATTTGAGAATCTGTGCAGTCATTGTGGGAGTGTTTTCTATCATACCGTTCTTGTAGAAACTCCTACTGTTTGCACGATTTCCGAACACCGTAGACCAGCTGCGCCTGAGACATCATCATCCACCATGGCTGTCTCAGCTTGAACTGCTGAACTAACCTCCTCGGATTTAACATTCATATCTGATACCATCAAGTTCGAGTCGAGGAAGAGGCACACAACAGCACAGTCGTCAATGTTGGAAAAAGGAAACTTGCGCCTCCATGCTTTAGTTGCAGACTCAACCAATGATTGAGCTGCAGAACGAGCTGGGGTCGATGCCACAATGTCGACTACCTCTTTGTTTGAGAGAACATCCCAAATCTGAAAAGTGTTGAATCAAACTTTAGATAGTAAGAAAGTGGTCATCAAATGAATCTATTTTAGTAAATGGTATCAAGAAGTCAATGTCATACTCCGTCGGTAGCTAAAACTATAAACTCGTCTTCGTCTGTCAGAAACCGATACGAAATTTCAGGAACAGAAATTAGACCGAAGTCCTTGAGGCAAAAGTCGCCGAAAGATCGTGCCATTGCCAGCCCAGGGGAATCATTGTTTGGAAGCCATACCCTAGCAACTTCTGGTTCATCCTCATGGGCAAATACCCGACCCTTGCATTGGAGAATTCTCTCTGCTTCAGCTGTTGCAGTTTAGAAAGCAATTAAAACCAGATTTCAGCTAGAAGTTAATCGATGAAACTTCAGATGTCCAATCAAATGAGAAAACTTATTATTATGTCAGATATTGTAACGGCCCAAGTTCACTGCTAGCAAATATTGTCCTTTTTGGACTTTCCCTTTTAGGCTTTCTCTCAAGATTTTTAAAACGCGTTTTCTAGGGAGAGGTTTCTACGCCAATAAAAAGAATGTTTCGTTCCCCTCTCCAATCGATATGAGATCTCACAATCCACCCCCTTCAGGACCCAACATCCTCGCAGGCACATCGCCCAGTGTCCGGCTCTGATACCATTTGTAACAGCTCAAGCCCACCCCTAGCAGATATTGTCCTCTTTGGGTATTTCCTTTCGAGTTTTCTCTCAAGGTTTTTAAAACGCACCTGCTAGGGAGAAGTTTCACTGCCCTTAAATGTTTCGTTCCCTTCTCCAACCGATGTGTGATCTCACAAACATTCTCTAAAATCACAGTATAGAAGCAGCAAATACATAATGTCTTAACAACTCAAAATGAATAGTTCATTGACAAGAGAGAGAGGGAGGGACCTGGAATATCTGGCTTGAGATCTATGGTCAACTGAACTGCTTGAAGACAATTATCCTTGTCTCTGGTACCCAACACAGCTCGCGAGTCCCCCACATTTCCAATAACAAGATCTCGATCCTAAAAGCCAGAAAATTACAAGAACTTTAAGAACGATCGGACCGAATGAAAACGAAAACGTTATAAATATGGTAATATAACTGCAGTAATGACACCACCTGCTTAACAAGAGCTACTGCTGTTGTCCCACTACAGAAGCAATCAATGTTTGGTTGCATTTTGAGTTCCACATCCATTATCTTAAAAGCCTTCAAAAATGATTCCTTCATATTTTCAGAAATTTCATGGTGCTTAAGGGGAGAACTAGCTTCCTTCCAATCAGTTTCTAACCCAGAATTTTCATTGTTGAGACCTGTTTTATGACCAAACTCTTTTGAAATATCCTCATTGCTTGCATTAGCTTCCCAATGCGCAGTCAGTTTCAGGGGCAGAGAATCCCTCACTCTTTTCGCGACCAGATGACCGTTAGGACCATGGCCATCAAAAACTCCACAGAAGAATGTATCCGTTCTTGAGCCAAAGTGCTGAAAATTCATGATCTGATTAGTGGTGATTATACTCCATCTATTTGCATTCTCTGAAACTTAAAAGGCATTTTCAGGCAACACATTGAAGCACACAAGGAAGAAGCCCTTACTTTGAAAGCCTCTTTATGACAAGTCAAATCAGGGATTGAACTTTGTTCATGGAAAAGTGGATACTAATACACTAATTGGTTAAGAAAAACATTGCACGGTCAAACAATAAAGCATAAACTAAGACAGAACCAAGAACAAAGCATGCTATCCATCCCAAGGAATAATTTTCTAATGCATTCAAGAGCTTGTGATATACCAATATAAAACCAGTTAGATCATTTGAAAGGGACCAACAAGACCCATAAATGAGACGACATATTGACAATAAAGAGCTAACCTCCCATACAATCATGGCATCTTGGTTCATCCCTTTCTTGCCCTGTTGAGTATAAAGTGAGGCAACTTCACTGGATCCATTCAAGAACATCCGACCCGGAATTCGATGAACTGTTGCTTCTTCACTCTGCTGCTCAAACATAGAATCCTTGGACTCCAGCCCATTTTCTGAGTCTTTCAGTTTACTTGCTTTCAGCACAGAAGATACAGAGGAACCAGCCATGGCCCTCTTACATACAACAGACAAGCAAGGCCCCATTCTGGAAATGGGGACTCCTAGAATGCTTGAATATGGACCTCAGTTAATAGAATCAGACTTAAATAACCCTTTATCTTTGGATTCTAATCCTTCACAGGAAGCTTGGTCTTATAACATCCATATACATCTCTTAATTACAGATTAAGCACTAAATTAGCCTCTAAACATATCTAAAACTCTATGTCATAGAAATTTTCACTTGTCTGTATAATCAAAAAATGCGAACGAAGCCCAAAAGACCAAGCAACAGCGAAGAGTATAGATATATTTCCAAATCTACTCGCCAAACAAAGACGATAACATTTCCAGATTCAGAAGTCATGGAGGCATATCGCCCCACCAACAATCAATAGAGAGGCTCAAAATCAACAACTGAATCGAAACGCAGTTATTTCACCCCCAAACGATTTCTCATCCATTTCTCAATTTAGAAAAAAAAAAAAAAAAAAAACCTATAAATTCTAATTCAAATTCAAGATCGCGATAAGACCAACCAACAAACAGAGGCAAAAACGATTCCCCTGATCGCAGAAACAATCAAAACCCATTCAGAACTTCAATTACCAATAGTAGGAAACAAAATTGGAGATGAATTAAGAATTTGGCAGAATGAATTCCTCTTTAGACAGCGACTTCGGATTTGAAGACGACCAAAGGGGGGGTGGAATGATTGAGTGGGGAAAACGACCGGAAGATTCAACAAACAAGCAAGCAACCGATGAAGAATCCTTTCGCGGGTTGTAAACGAGTTTTGACTTTAAAGAGGACAAAGAAACGAAGCACATTAATGGCGTCGCTAACAGAGGAGAAGGAAAATGACAAGACGCCTCGTGGAGTTCGTGAGGAATGATCATGGAACAGTTTTTAGATTAAAAAAATTATTAATAATTTTAAAAATTATTTCAAAAAAAAAAAAAATCAAAATCATTCCCTAAATATGCAGGATCTTATGCATGTTAGCATAAATTACTTTTTCAACATGTCACGTACGGACATATACATCATGATATTATATGTATTCTTTTATGGCTCATAATTAGGCCTAAAGGTATACATTGACGAGTAAATTATTGTATTGATCGAGCTCGTTAAAATTAATTTAAGTATTTTATTGGCAGATTTGTATAAGTCTATCATTTGATTTTGGGTTATATTGAATTTCCTTCTAACCATCGAGTGTAGAAATCTAATGCCTCTCTAGGTTTGTATTCTGGTACAGTATGTCCAGCTCCCTGCATGTGTAATTATTTAATATTATAAATAAAATATTTTTTTATAATAATATAAATATAAATAATTAATAATATTCAATTTTAAAAAGTATGCATACCTTTATGGTAAGGAAAGTGAGATTGTGTTCATATTCTTGTAAATACCTTTAAAAGGAAACACAATATTTGTTAGATTTGTTAATCAAGAATAACATTTTTTATTTTTTTATTTTAATTTTTAAATATTCTTTTTTCCTCTAAAAAAAAGAAAGATATTAAAATTGAGAGATCTAAAATTATAGAATAAATATAAAAGTTTAACTAGTGAAATAAAATAAATTATAATTATAATTATAATTATGCATTCAAAAATAGTTAAATTAATAAAATTATATACTCCATTTATTTACCCTTTATAAATCATATTTAAAATTTTTATTATTTTTTTAAATATGATATTAACGGTTCCATCTATAAAAGTTTTTTTTTTTTTTTAATGACTTTTTATTAATTTAACAAATAAATAAATAAATAAATAAATAAATACCCTGCAACTTGGGCATTGGAGAACCATGGCCTCCATTCATCAATAATTTTGTAGCCAAGTGAAGAAGTCCATGCTTGGCTTCCAGTGTATGGCACACACATATCATGGTCTCCACTGTTCATTCATAATAAACAAAAAAAAAAAAAAAAAAAAAAAAACAATTTTTTTAATATTAAAAATTAANTCTTTTCCCCGAGTAAATATTTATTTATTCGAAACTAAGATTAAAATTATACTCTCTTGTCGCACTTGATTATTTATTTATTTATTTATTTATTATTATAGTAAATAAGTTGCTATTAAAATTTAAATTTTTAAAAATTATATTGGTCGGTTATAATTATATTTTTTCGACGCAAAATTGATTAAAAAAATAATAAATAAATAACTGACCTGAAAATAAGAGCTCTAAAACCTTGAGAAGTAAGGTTCTTATGATAAGGAATCATACTTCCAGCATTGTGACTGTACCTTATTCTATGAGTACAGAGCTCCCATGGACCTGCCACACTTTCCTGTTTTTTTTTTTTTTTTTTTTTTTTTTTTTTTTTTTTTTTTTTTTTTTTTTTTTTTTTTTTTTTTTNATATATTAAAAAATAAAAATTATAGGGTTTAAAAAGAAGTACCGGCTCGGCGTGAATGGCTTCTCTCACCGACTCGTCGTTCAACCAAATAGTCGCTACTTCATCATTCTACTTTCACAAAAGTCAAACATAAATAGTTGACTTTCAAAATCTTTACTATAAATCTATACCTGTACAATATTTTAGTATAATTGAATTAAATTGATAATTTAAGTTTAGGAGAGTGATTATGAAATGTAAGCTAACCAGACAAGGTACATGAGATTTGGTGTCGGTCTCAGCTAGTTCAGACCAAAGAGGGACGATCCCATCGCGCACTGGCGCCCTAAAAGGCCAAGCCCGACCAAACATCCGCTTCCTTATGGCTAAAGGCTTCTCCGTTTGCCCAAGCTGTTGAAAACTTGTAGGCAAGCTTTGGCTCGTGTTTCCTATGTGAAAACATGGCTCCAAGATGTCGTATACGTTTAGCCTCTCCAAATCCTAATTTCATTCATTTTTAAAAAAGAAAAAAAAAATTAAAAATTTAAAAATTAAAGGTTATAAAGCAAATACAAAGATATGAAAAGAATTAAAAACCTGGTCAACGCGGTCAAGCTTGTCAAAACAAGCCTCCGTTTGAGGGTCGTAGTAATTTCCACCACAAGAAGCTTCAGCTTCCTACAATATTATACAAATTATATTAGTTTATTCTATTTTCATCACTACAATTTTATTTTTTTATTTCTTATGATTTTATAAAATAATATGTGGTGATTTAATAAAAATTTATTATTGTCGGACTTTTTTTATTACCAATATTTGTTTCTTAAAAAAATAAAATTTTTTATTACATAATTTTTATTTTTTAATATAATTCTTATTATAAAAAGATTCATTTATAATAATTGGACTTAAAATTAGAAATACAATCTCTCCAACCCCTCTTTTATTCTCTATTTAAATAAAGATTCCCTACTTTATTTAAGATTTTAGGACAGGTCCCACGAGGCATAAATGAACATCTATCATAAAAACAAAATATGCATTTTATTTAGTTTAAAGAATTTTCTATTTTTTCTTCCCATAGAACGATTAGAAATGGCTTTTTTTAAATCCTTAAACGATGCTAAAATGGCGATGTAAATATATAATTTAGTAATGATTACCTGAAACATAGCGTCAGAGATTAGGGCCATTCCATGTGCAAAAGGGACGAGAGCATTGCCATCAAACTTTTCGTCCGTCACACCATTCCCCACCATGTAACCCTATTAATTTCCATCAAATACCCAAAATTTCTCATATTTATACTTAAGTCCCACCACAATTTAAAACTTTTCTTTTTGATCCTTCAATTTTTTAGTTTTTACTTAAACGTACCTTGAAATTTATAATTGGCACAGCCCCATTTTTAAGCCCTACAACCATATATTAAATAATTATAAAATATTATATAAAAATAAATAAATAAATAAATACAGTACCTTGGACTACTTGAGAAGCAAGGGTGGGGACATAGATGCCTGCGAAGGACTCTCCTGCTATGTAAAATGGATTTTGAAGAAATTCTGGAAATTCCTCGAACCACTGCCAACATTTCAATTTTTGATATTTGAAGGGTGAGAAATTGAAATTTTGAAAAGTTTAGGGACTTGATTGCAAAATGAAAATAATAAAAAAAGATGAATTACTCTCAGAATAAAAATGTGTGTATCAGAAGCCGTTTGAAGATCTCCTGTAATGTAATTGGCCTCGTTTGGGGAATAGGATAAGCCAACACCAGCTGGGGAATCCAAATATATAATATTTGAAACCTGCAAATAAAATTTATTTCAAATTACAGATTTAAAATCCAATATCTCATCATCTTAATATTTCCCGACATTCTATGTGATATGACTTATGTTGATTGGAAGTCTCACGTCTGTTAATTTAGGAAACAATCATCTGTTTATAATAAAAGAATATTCTCTCCATTGTAAAAGACATTTCGAATTATTTGGGCTTCGGCCTTCAAAAGTGAAAGAAATGATTTTAGTTACAAATAATAAACAAATTGGTGTATTACCAAATCACGCACTTTATGGCTAATTACGGATGGTTAGCGATGGCTCTGATGGATGGTTTTGCTAGAATAGGCAATAATGAGGTTAAATGATGGGGAGAAAGGTTAGTGACATTGATCCACAAGAAGCTCAGCAAACTCTTGAAATAGCGGAAACTAACTTGAGGAAAGCTCAAGGCAAGAGACAAACAATCAAGGCAAATTTAGCTCTCAGACGAGCTAGGACACGAGTAGAAGCTATCAATGACGTACCTAATTGATCCGTCTAAATAATCAAGTGAAATGAAATTTTCATAAGGCTTTTTAGAAACCCCAAACTAAAGCAATGAGAGCTTATGCTCAAAGTAGACAATAGCATACCATCGTAAAGAGTCGTGTTCATCTAACAACTTGAACTTCTTATATATCAACACGAGTCCTTTTAGTGTAATAAACTTTTAATTTCTTTAACTATAGATTACGTCATATGTGTGATATGTGTGTATATATATATATATATAGTCTTTTAAATAAATAAATATATATATATACATATAAAGGAAAGAATTATGACGTCACCTTGGACCAGCTGTAAGGATTAAGATGTAAGGTAGGGAGTGTTCCCTTGGGATTTCCTTCTCCAAAATTGAAAGGTCCTGCAAATAATGAACATTAAAATATTAATTTTAATTAAATTTATTAGACGTCTCCATCACTAATAAATAAAATAAAATATTTAATTTCATAAAATTTGTAATTAAAAACTAATAAAAATATTAAATAATATATGAAAATACACATTTTTAAATTATGAATATTTAACAACTTTTATTAATGCAATCGATATTTTTCCCATTCCGACCCACAATTTATTTTTTATTTTTTATTTTTTATTTTTTAAATTCCTACCCATCTCCCAACCTATAATTTTTGGTCCTATTCAAAGCAGGTGGGACCAACCCATAAAAATCACACCTAATTATAGAAAATAAATTCAAATTAATAATATCTCTAAACTTTTTAAAAAATTAAAAAATACCTTTCATAGATTAAAAATATGTATTCGAAAATAAAATTATATCACTGTAGAGACCTATGCTTTAAATTAAATGGAAACTGTTCGGATTTTATTTTAATAATATTCTCTAAACTTGTGAAAAATAAAGTTATATTATTCTCGAAATAAATTTGTAAATTTAAAATTTCATTTTAATAATATCTCTAAAATTTTTAAAAATTTTAAAAATAGTCTGAATTTCAAGAAAATAAATTATTTATAGAAAAGAAATTGTAATTTAAGTTAAAAAAGAAAAGAGGGAGGGAAGTAGAGTACTACCGTGTTCATAAACAAAGCCGTCGAAGCTAGAGCAACCAGGGCCGCCGTTGAGCCAGAGAACCACCGGATCGGCGGCGGGGCTCCGTTGCGACGTCACAAAGTAATAAAACAGCCTCTTCCCACTCGAACCTCCGTCGATATTTA